CTGTCATCCCAGCTACTCTGGAGGCTGAGGCAGGAGAATCGCTTGAACCCAGGAGGCGGAGGTTGCAGTGAGCTGAGATCGCGCCATTGCACTCCAGCCTGGTGACAGAGTGAGACTCCGTCTCAAAAAAAAAAAATCAGAAGTGAAAGCTACATTAGAATGAGCACAAGAGGAAATAGACACAACAGAGAAAACACATTTTTTTTTGAGATGGGGTCTTGCTCTGTAGGCCACTTGTTCCGGAGTGCACTGGTGCAATAATAACTCACTGCAGCCTCCACCTTCTGGACTCAGGTGAGCCTCCCCCCTCGGCCTCCCCCCTCAGCCTCTCGAGTAGCTGGGGCCACAGGCATGTGCCACCACACCTGGCTAATTTTTGTATTTCTCGTAGAAACAGAAGTCTTTCTCTGTTGCCCAGGCTTGTCTCAAACTCCTGGTCTCAAGCAGTCCTCCCCAGTCAGCCTCCAGAAGTGCTGACTCCAGGCGTGAGCCACATGGCTTGTCTATTTTTTTTGTTATTTTTTAGAGACCAGATCTCACTGTGTCGCCCAGGCTGGAGTGCAGTGGCACAGCCACCATCACTCTCCCAGGCTCCTCCCACCATCATCCTCCCACCTCAGCCTCCTGGGTAGCTGAAATTTTAATTTTTGTAGAGATGGTGTCTCATTATGTTGCCCAGGCTGGTCTCAAACTCCTGGCCTCAAGCAATCCTTTCCCCTCAGCCTCCCAAAGTGCTGGGATGACAGGCGTGAGCCACTGCACCTGGCCAACTTTTACAAAGTATTTGGGATTCAGATTTCACTCAATCAAAGAGCAAACTAGAGTGACTCCCAGCCCCTACAGCCAATGCTTGAGTGTGGAATCTCTGTCAGTAAATTCACCCCAATTCAACATTCAGCTGCTTCCGTCCTGCCCCACCATCCCCCCGAGATCCCATCCCAGACCAGCCTCTCGGTGTGGGTTCTGTCAGTATCAGTGGGCAAGGAAGGGCCTGCACTTCTCCGGGTGCCTATGGAGGCTCCTCACCGCCCACTCAGTGCCGCTCAGCCTGTGTGGCCGGCCAGGAGCTGAGGCTGGATGCAGGTCTAGAAGCTTCGAGAGCTGGTGGGCTGGACCCTGCGGAGAATCGGCCGACACGGGACCCCAGACTGTCCAGATGAGGAAAGGGGCTCCTACTGGAAGGGGGACAACAGGATTTTGAGTGCAAGGTGCTCAGATACAGTGAAGTGTGCACATTTGGACACATTTCTCAGCTTCCCTTCCTGCCTTTCCTCTCTCTGGGTCTCTGTCCCCATCTCTCTAGGTCTCTGTCTCCCCCTCTCTCTAGGTCTCTGTCCCCCTCTCTCTGGGCCTGTCTCCCTCTCTCTCTGGGTTTCTGTCCTCCCCTCTCTCTGGGTCTCTGTCCTCCCCCACTCTGGGTCTATGTCCCCCTCTCTCTGGCTCTGTCTACTCTCTCTGGATCTCTGTTCCTCCCTCTCTCTCTGGGTCTCTCTGTCTCTGAGTCCCTGTCCTTCTCTCTCTGGGTCTCTGTCCCTCTCTCTCTCTCTGGGTCTCTGTCCTCCCCTGGATCTCTGTCCCCCTCTCTCTGGGTCTGTCTCCTTCTCTCTCTGGATCTCTGTCCCTCTCTCTCTCTGGGTCTCTGTCCCCCCCTCTCTCTAAGTCTCTGTCCTCCCCTCTCTCTGGATCTCTGTCCTCCCCTCTCTCTGGGTCTCTGTCCCCCTCTCCCTCTGGGTCTCTGTCCTCCCCTCTCTCTGGGTCTCTGTCCCCCTCTCTCTCTGGGTCTCTCCCCCTCTCTCTGGGTCTCTGTCCCCCCCCCAGGTCTCTGTCCCCCTCTCTCTCTGGGTCGTTGTCCCCCTCTCTCTGGGTCTTTGTCTCCCCCTCTGGGTCTATGCACCACATCGGGTCCCTGATCCCCTTTCACTCTGGGTCTCTGTCCCCCTCTCTCTCTGGGTCTCTGTCCCCCTCTCTCTCTGGGTCTCTGTCTCCCTCTCTCTGGGTCTCTGTCCCCCTCTCTCTCTGGGTCTCTGTCCCCCTCTCTCTGGATCTCTGTCCCCCCTCTCTCTGGGTCTCTATCCCCCTCTCTCTCTGGGTGTCTGTCTCTTCCCTTCCCTCTGGGTGTGTGTCTCCTGGTCTCCGGCCTGGTATGGCGGGCAGGTGGGAACCGGGTCAGGATGGTGCCCAGCTCTCCCTCCTCCTTTTCACACTGGCCACCTCATTTTTCCTTGACAGCAGGAGGTGGGGACTTTTCTGACAAGGAGCTAACATCTCACCTGAGTCACCCCCAGGACCTAAACCAGGGAGCTTTGTGAAATTTCAAGTTCTGTTTCTCTCCCTTGACTGAGCCAGGCTTGTGCCATCGGAGTGGAAAGCTGCAGTTTCTACAAATGCTGACTTTCGTTTTTCTGGGCATCGAATCCCTCCACTGACCTCGGCCACCCACAGTTATGCTCTTTTGACTGCGATATTTCTCTCACTTGAACTTTGGACTTAACACGAAGGGTCCAAGATGACAGACCCCGCCGCCGGGCTGCAGCTCTCGGGGCTGGCACAGGCCCGCTTCCTTGCTACCAGGAAGTGACTCGAAAGACAATATGGAAATCTCGGTTGTGTGAGGGGAGGGAGACCAGGCAATGTGCTTGCCAGGACTGGAATCTATGACATTCATTACATAAGGAACATGGGAAGGAGCCCCAGCCGAAGTCCATGCCGGGTGTGGTAGCTCACACCTGTAGTCCCAGCTTCTCGGGAGGATGAGGCAGGAGAATCGATTGAACCCGGGAGGCGGAGGTGGCAGTGAGATCGTGCCAATGCACTCCAGCCTGGGCAACAGAGACTCAGTCTCAAAAATAAAAAAATAAGGCCGGGCACGATGGCTCATGCCTGTAATCCCAGCACTTTGGGAGGCCGAGGCGGGTGGATCACGAGGTCAAGAGATCGAGACCATCCTGGTCAACATGGTGAAACCCCGTCTCTACTGTAAATACAAAAAATTAGCTGGGCACGGTGGCGCGTGCCTGTAATTCCAGCTACTCGGGAGGCTGAGGCAGGAGAATTGCCTGAACCCAGGAGGTGGAGGTTGTGGTGAGCCGAGATCGCACCATTGCACTCCAGCCTGGGTAACAAGAGCGAAACTCTGTCTCAAAAAAATCAAAAAATTAATAATAAATAAATAAATAAAAATAAAAATAGGGCCGGTGCGGTGACTTAGTCCTGTAATCCCAGCACTTTGGGAGGCCGAGGCAGGCAGATCACCTGAGGTTAGGAGTTCGAGACCAGCATGGCCAATGTGGAGAACCCCTGTCTCTACTAAAAACACAAAATTAGCTGGGTGTGGTGGCGCGTGCCTGTAGTCCCAGCTACTCGGGAGGCTGAGGCAGGAGAATTGACTGAATCCAGAAGTCGGAGGTTGCGGTGAGCCGAGATGGCGCCACTGCACTCCAGCCTGGGCAACAAGAGCGAAACTGTCTCAAAAATAAATAAATAAATAAATAAATGCTGGGCACAGTGGCTCACACCTGTAATCCCAGCACTTTGGGAGCCAAGGTGGGTGGATCACCTGAGGTCAGGAGTTTGAGACCAGCCTGGCCAACATGGCGAAAACCCATTTCTACTAAAAACACAAAAATTAGCTGGGCGTGGTGGTGGTGGTGCCTGTAATCTGAGGTACTCCAGAGGCTGAGGCAGGAGAATCACTTGAGCCTGGGAGGCAGAGGTAGCAGTGAGCCGAGGTAGTGCCACTGCACTCCAGACTGGGCGACAGAGCAAGATTCTGACTCAAAAAACCAAAATAGATAAATAAATAAATATTAAAAGTCAGTAAGGACCTATATGGAGGAATTCCAAATGTCAGCTCCTCTTGTGGAGACCCCAGACTCCCACCCTCCAGCCCCTCCTTTCTTAGAGCAGGGTGTCTACATCTGTAGTCCCCAATCCTCCTGGGACCCAGGTGTCTGGGTGTCCAACCCTCTGATTCCCCAGAACCTTTGGGCGTTACACGAGCACCAAACCCACCCCAGGATGCAGGAGTCCTTGGCTCAGATTTGAGGACCAAGAGATCTCATTCCCGCTGCTAAATGAAGCCAGAAAACTACATCTCCCATGAGGATGCGAGCCTGCTGTGTCACTTTGTAAAAGCTCCCCAGTTATTGAGGTAGCTCTGAGAAATAGTAACACAATGCCAGCACAAGTTGAGGGGGTGGAGACAAAAGTCCTGCCCTTTTATTTTTATTTTTTTTAACTTTTTTTTTTTGTGCGGGGGTGGGGGCAGAGTCTCTACTGCACAGGCTGGAGGACAGTGGTGTGATCTCGGCTCACGCAACCTACGCCTCCCAGGTTCAAGCCATTCTCCTGCCTCAGACTCCCAAGTAGCTGAGATTACAGGTGCCCACCACCATGTCCAGCTAGTTATTATATTTATAGTAGAGACATGTTGGCAAGGCTGGTCTCAAACTCCTAACCTCAGGCAATCTGTCTCAGACTCCCAAAGGGCTGCGATTATAGGCATGAGCCACCAAGCCTGGCTTATTTATTTATTTATTTAGAGTCTTGCTCTGTCATCCAGGCTAGAGTACAGTGGTGCGATCTTGGCTCACTGCAATCTCTGCCTCCTGGGTTCAAGCGATTCTCCTGCCTCAGCCTCCTGAGTAGCTGGGATTACAGGCATGTGCCACCACCATGCCCGGCTCATTTTGCATTTTTAGTAGAGATGGGGTTTCACCATCATGTTGGTCAGGCTGGTCTCGAACTCCTGACCTTGTGATCTGCCTGCCTTGGCCTCCCAAAGTGCTAGGATTACAGGCATGAGCCACCTCGCCCGGCCAGTCTTGCCCTCTCAAAGAGCAGGGATAGTCCAGACTCCCTGAGGACGCTTTAGCAGGGTAGAAAAGTGAGGCCCAGCGGGAAGCCAGGATGCCGGGCCAACTTGAGGGGAGGTGGAAAGGGCAACGAGGAAACAGATCCCATTTCTTCCCTCAAATGCTCACACATGTTCACGGCCAACCTCCTCTCCAACTCTTTATTATCTCAAGTAAGAAAAATAAAAAAATAAATAAGATAAATAACCTAATAAATAAAGAGGAGATGCAATAGTAAACAGCCCGTAACCTCAGGAAGCGTAGCTGGGGCTTTGGCCTTGGGAAGGCCCCACCATGCTCAGAGGGTCTGAGGAGCCCACGTCGGGGGGCTCAGGGGCCAGGATTCCTGGCGGCTCTGGGGGTTCAGGGGGCAGGCCTGGTAGTGGCAGGAAGCGAGCTGGTCCTCGGGGTGCAGGGTCCCGGGGTGGTGACCTGCTCCCTGGCAGGTGCAGCGGGAGGCCGTGGGCCACAGACTGGTACACATTGTATCCGTCCTCAAGAAGCAGCTCCCGGAAGCTGCAGGCCTCGGGGTCAAAGTGGAGCTAGGGGACAAAGAACAGGATCAGAGACAGCGTTCCTCTATGTTCTCCTGTTGCAGGACACAGGAGTCCAGGCCCCAGACCCTCCTCCCTCAGACCCAGGAGTCCAGGTCCCAGTGCCTCCTCCCTCAGACCCAGGAGTCCAGACCCCAGCCCCTCCCCACTCAGACCCAGCAATCCAGGTCCCAGTGCCTCCTCCCTCAAACCCAGGAGTCCAGGCCCCAGACCCTCCTCCCTCAGACCCAGGAGTCCAGGCCCCAGACCCTCCTCCCTCAGACCCAGGAGTCCAGGCCCCAGACCCTCCTCCCTCAGACCCAGGAGTCCAGGTCCCAGCCCCTCCTCCCTCAGACCCAGGAGTCCAGGTCCCAGCCCCTCCTCCCTCAGACCTAGGAGTCCAGGTCCCAGTGCCTCCTCCCTCAAACCCAGGAGCCCAGGTCCCAGTGCCTCCTCCCTCAGACCCAGGAGTCCAGGCCCCAGCCCCTCCCTCCTCACACCCAGGAGTCCAGGTCCCAGCCCCTCCCTCAGACCCAGGAGTCCAGGCTCCAGCCCCTCCCCCCTCACACCCAGGAGTCCAGGTCTCAGCCCCTCCTCCCTCAGACCCAGGAGTCCAGGTCCCAGTGCCTCCTCCCTCAGACCCAGGAGTCCAGACCCCAGCCCCTCCCCCCTCACACCCAGGAGTCCAGGTCCCAGCCCCTCCTCCCTCAGACCCAGGAGTCCAGGTCCCAGTGCCTCCTCCCTCAAACCCAGGAGCCCAGGTCCCAGTGCCTCCTCCCTCAGACCCAGGAGTCCAGACCCCAGCCCCTCCCTCCTCACACCCAGGAGTCCAGGTCCCAGCCCCTCCTCCCTCAGACCCAGGAGTCCAGGTCCCAGTGCCTCCTCCCTCAGACCCAGGAGTCCAGACCCCAGCCCCTCCCCACTCAGACCCAGGAATCCAGGCCCCCAGCCCCTCCTCCCTCAGGCCCAGGAGTCCAGGCCCCAGCCCCTCCTCCCTCAGACCCGGGAGTCCAGGCCCCCAGCCCCTCCTCCCTCAGACCCAGGAGTCCAGGCCCCCAGCCCCTCCTGCCTCAGACCCAGGAGTCCAGTCCCCTGTCCCTCCTCCCTCAGACCCAGGAGTCCAGGCCCAGTCCCTGCTCTAGGTAACAAACACCAACAGGAGATTTCTTTTCTACCCCAGGTCTGTCCTGCAGGACCCCTCCTGTCAATGCAGACTTCACAGAGAACATTCCAGCCCTCCGAGCAGTCAGTGCTCTCTCAGGCCAGGCTTGTGGGTCCCCCTAGCACCCAAGGTCCTGGTCACTTTCCTGGCCATGGCTTCCCTGAGCGTCCCTGTGCCCAGCAGGAGCCGTGCACACAGGGGCTGTGTGGGCAGGGGCAGGTGTCACTGAGTACTAGATGATCACCCCTGAGTCTCAGGCCAGGCTGGCTCCACACATCACGTGATTGAGGTCGTGGTGCCTTGGCCTGGGCCTCAGTTTCCTCATCTTGCGAACGCTGATGACAACAACCTCAACTTCCAAAGGTTGACATGAGATCAGGGCGTGCAGAGCGATTAGAATCAAGTCTGGCTCCGGGGGATGAGCAAGACATGGCACCCCAGGCTGTGAGGGCGGCAGCCAGGAGGAGCGGTGGGGGCCGAGGAGGGTCCCGGAAACTCACCGATCCATACAGCGCCCCGTCTGGCCTCTGGCACAGGAACCTGGATGTCTTGACTCCCAAGATTTGAATAACCCCTGGCTTTAAGGCTTTCAGCTGCAAGAGACCTAAGGGGAGAAAGTGGTAAGGTGCCTAGAGGAACTCTTCCCACCCCGCTCTGTCCCAGCCCTAGGAGTCCAGGTGAAGCCCCCTCCTCCCTCAGACCCAGTGTCCAGACCCCAGCCCCTCCTCCTTCAGACCCAGGAGTCCAGACCCCCAGTCCCTCCTCCCTCAGACCCAGGAGTCCAGGCCCCAGCCCCTCCTCCCTCAGACCCAGGAGTCTGGACCCCAGCCCCTCCCCACTCAGACCCAGGAGTCCAGGCCCCCAGCCCCTCCTTCCTCAGACCCAGAAGTCCAAGTCCCCAGCCCCTCCTCCTTCAGACCCAGTGTCCAGACCCCAGCCCCTCCTCCCTCAGACCCAGTGTCCAGACCCCAGCCCCTCCTCCCTCAGACCCAGTGTCCAGACCTCCAGTCCCTCCTCCCTCAGACCCAGGAGTCCAGGCCCCCAGCCCCTCCTCCCTCAGACCCAGAAGTGCAAGACCCCAGCCCCTCCTCCCTCAGACCCAGTGTCCAGACCCGCCCAGCCCCTCCTCCCTCAGACCCAGGAGTCCAGGCCCCCAGCCCCTCCTTCCTCAGACCCAGTGTCCAGACCCCAGCCCCTCCTCCTTCAGACCCAGGAGTCCAGACCCCCAGTCCCTCCTCCCTCAGACCCAGGAGTCCAGGCCCCAGCCCCTCCTCCCTCAGACCCAGGAGTCCAGGCCCCAGCCCCTCCTCCCTCAGACCCAGGAGTCCAGGCCCCAGCCCCTCCTCCCTCAGACCCAGTGTCCAGACCCCCCCAGCCCCTCCTCCCTCAGACCCAGGAGTCCAGGCCCCCAGCCCCTCCTCCCTCAGACCCAGGAGTCCAGGCCCCCAGTCCCTCCTCCCTCAGACCCAGAAGTCCAAGTCCCCAGCCCCTCCTCCCTCAGACCCAGTGTCCAGATCCCCCCAGCCCCTCCTCCCTCAGACCCAGTGTCCAGACCCCCCCAGCCCCTCCTCCCTCAGACCCAGGAGTCCAGGCCCTAGCCCCTCCTCCCTTGGACTCAGGCCCTGGCCCACACTCACTTTCGGGACTCTGGTGGGCAGCCCCTGCCACTGTGCCATCTTCCCTGATCTCCAGGTGGGCTTCTGTCTGCTGGGCGTCATCTGTGTAGAGGTACCGCTGCCGGACTTGGCCTCCAAATTGCAGGAGGGGACTGGAGTCAGGGATGGGGTGCGCCTGGCAGGTTCCCAGCAGGAGACCAGCCAGCACAGAAACCCACAGTGCAGGGTGCTCCAACCCGACCTCCTCCGAGCCCATCAATGGCTCAGTCCTCGGGCGATATCCAGGGTGTGAGTGGGAGAAGCCGCGTGGTCTAGATCCGTGCCAGATTCTGCTTTTCCTGGTGAGCAGATCACAGATCACTGCTCAGCTGTCCTGAGTGCCTCGGTCCTCCTTCAGGTGAATCCTCAGCTGACAGGACACCCCTGTTTTTGGGGATAGATGTAGGAGCTCCAGAATTTATACCCAGACAGTTCCGCCCAATCAGCCTCCCTGCGCCTGAACCGTGATATTTGACCCACTTGGCAGAAACTAGAATTCCATCGTGGCAAGGGCAGCCTGAATGGATGGATGATGCAATCTGGGGGTCCTTTCAATGGGGGGCCAGACTCCTGGGTCTAGGGGAGGAGGGAGAGGAGGATCAGGTTAGCTGGGACTCAGACAAAAGGGGCTGGGAGCCCAGACTCCTGAGTCTCAGAGAGAAGGATCTGGGGTCTTGAGTTCCTGAGTCGGAGGAAGGAGGGGTGCTGGGATCCTGGGAAAACCACCTCTTGGCTCATTCATGCAGATCTCAAGAACAAGAGACATTTCTGACCCCTATCTGAATTTCTAAGTTTGTGGGAAGGGCACGGTCTGACACGGAGTTTCCTTGATCCTCAGCAAGGTGGCAATTGCTGGATGGAAAAGTGACCTCGGTAGGGACGCAGGGACCCAGTGCCCTGCCTTGGAAGCCTCTCACCTGGCTGCGGGCCGACCTCAACCTCCTCTGCCCCTGCTCAGATGCTCAGACCCTGGGCATCGCAGCATCCTCCTCCCTGATGCAATCCTGGTGTTTCTTTCACCAGAGAAGCCATCCCAGGCTCAGGCAGGTGCTCCTAAAATAACCTGGGGGAGGAGTGGGTGACAGTCTCGGACTGGAGTTGGCAGCTGAGCCAGGCTCTGAAGCAGGTGCCCAGAGGTAAGACAGGCTGGCTGATTGCCTGGAGCCCCTAAGGGTGCAAGGACAGGACTTCTACATCTGAGGGAGGAGGGCCTGGGGGCCTGGACTCCTGGGTCTGAGGGAGGAGGGGCTGGGGTCTGGACTCCTGGGTCTGAGAGAGGAGGGGCTGGGGTCTGGACTCCTGGGTCTGAGGGAGGAGGTCGGGGTCTGGACTCCCGGGTCTCAGGGAGGAGGGGTCCTTGGTCTGAGGGAAGAGGGATCCTGGGTCTGGACTCCTGGGTCTGAGGGAGGAGGGGCTGGGGTCTGGACTCCTGGGTCTGAGGGAGGAGGGGCTGGGGTCTGGACTCCTGGGTCTGAGGGAGGAGGGGTCCTGGGTCTGAGGGAAGAGGGGTCCTGGGTCTGGACTCCTGGGTCTGAGGGAGGAGGGGCAGGGGTCTGGACTCCTCAGTCTTAGGGAGGAGGGGCTGGGGGGGACTCGATTCCTGGGTCTGAGGGAGGAGGGGTCTTAGGTCTGGACTCCTGGGTCTGAGGGAAGAGGGGTCCTGGGTCTGGACTCCTGGGTCTGAGGGAGGAGGTCGGGGTCTGAACTCCCGGGTCTCAGGGAGGAGGGGTCCTCGGTCTGAGGGAAGAGGGATCCTGGGTCTGGACTCCTGGGTCTGAGGGAGGAGGGGCTGGGGTCTGGACTCCTGGGTCTGAGGGAGGAGGGGTCCTGGGTCTGAGGGAAGAGGGTTCCTGGGTCTGGACTCCTGGGTCTGAGGGAGGAGGGGCAGGGGTCTGGACTCCTCAGTCTGAGGGAGGAGGGGCTGCGGGGGACTCGATTCCTGGGTCTGAGGGAGGAGGAGTCTTAGGTCTGGACTCCTGGGTCTGAGGGAAGAGGGGTCCTGGGTCTGGACTCCTGGGTCTGAGGGAAGAGGGGTCCTGGGTCTGGACTCCTGGGTCTGAGGGAGGAGGGGCAGGACTTCTTGGGTGTGAGGGGAAGGGTCTCGGGTGCTCAGAGTCCTGAGCCTGGAGAGATGATGGTTAAACTTCTGGGAATCAAGTCGAACTCCTGAGTCCTTGACACTGATGTATGTTGGGTGGAGTCAGCATGCCCTGCTCCGGGTTGGCGATGCTGGAGGTGGGTCTTGGACCAGAGAAAATGCTTTAATTAGGTGACAAGCGGGCAGAGGCCTCTGTTCCTGGTGCCCGCCGCCACGGGTGCTGCTAACGGCACTGGAAGCAGACCCTGTTCCACTCCAGTCTCCAGCGTCGGAATGGCTGCTTCCGCGCAGTGCAGGTCTGGAAAGTAACAGTTTGGCACGGGACCCCAGAATTCTCCAAAAGGAGCCACTAGGGGCTAGGATTCTGGAATTTAAGTGTGGACGGGGTGGTGGGTGCGAGATCGGAGACCCTGGCGGGCGTGGGGGCACCTGCAGGCTGGAGGCCCCCGTGCGCTCCCGCGGCAGCCCGGCAAACAGGTTCTCCATTCCCGGGAGGACGCGGCAGGGGGCGGAGGATCGCCCCACTCGCCGGGACCAGGTGCGGGGGCCCTGCCCAGCCGCTGGGGCGTGGCCAGGCGCGAGGCACCCAGGTGCCTGGGGCCGACTCTAAGCCCTGGCGCCGGGAAGGAGAGGGCGGCGGATTGGACCTCCCGGCTACAGCTTTGCAGCTGGGCGCTCGGGCTCCGGGTCCACGCAAGGATGCGGCGGCTGCTCGGAAGCCAGGTAGGCTGCCCCGGGTGAAGCTTTCGTGCAGGTCAATGCCGGGGCGGCGGGGCGGGGCGCGGTCCCTCGCATCCCGGATCTGGGCAGCGGTGGGACCAGGGACCATCGCCCTAGCCCCGGGCGCTGGGGCTCCGCGTCAGGGGAGGGGCGGGGCTCCATCTTTTAGGCACCTGCCCGGCCCGGGAGGGCGGAGGCTGCTATCCTCCCGGCCACGCCCCCTCCTTCCTCCCCTCCCCAAGCCCTCGCTGCCAGTCCGGGCAGGCTGCGCGGAGGGGAGGGCTGCGGGGCCGGAGAGCCGGGCGCCTGGCGTTCCGGGGACCGCCGGATAAGGCCAGCCTTGGCGGACGGCGCGCTCTGGCCACCCGAAGCGTGGATCTACCCACTTCAAGGAGCTCAGGTGAGTGGGGACTGCGGGTGCCTGGGACCCAGGAACAACTCCTTCAGAGCCGGAAGAAGAGGTACAACCCCAACCTCTTCTCTAGGTCTTCCTAAGGCTCTAGGACTCTCCACCACCTCCCCAGCCATTTCTCCTCCGGGACCAAGATCCTCCTTCCGCTCCTGATCCTCCAGCCCCTCTTGTTTCACACGGACTGTTTCTTCCATCATCACCTCTGTGGTGGATTTTGCCCCTTACAGGCAGGTACCCCTGAGAATCAGGCTGGTGGAAGAAGGAAGGATCAGTGGACCTTACAGGAGGGGAGACTCGAGATTCCTGCAGGAAAAGTGCAGGAACCTGCACCATGGCTATCGGTGTCTTTTGCTTTTTTTCTTTTTTTTCTGAGACGGAGTTTCGCTCTTGTTACCCAGGCTGGAGTGCAATGGCGCGATCTCGGCTCACCGCAACCTCCGCCTCCTGGGATCAGGCAATTCTCCCGCCTCAGCCTCCCGAGTAGCTGGGATTACAGGCACGCGCCACCATGCCCAGCTAATTTTTTGTATCTTTAGTAGAGACGGGGTTTCACCATGTTGACCAGGATGGTCTCGATCTCTTGACCTCGTGATCCACCCGCCTCGGCCTCCCAAAGTGCTGGGATTGCAGGCTTGAGCCACGGCGCCCGGCCTTTGCTTTGTCGTTGTTGTTGTTGTTAGACAGGGTCCCTCTCTGTGCCCAGGCTAGAGCGCAGCAGTGCTGTCGTGGCTCACTGGGATGCAGTCACCATAGCTCCTGTGTAGCTGAGACCACAGACACAGGCCACCATGCCTAGCTAATTTTCTTTTTCTTTCTTTCCCTCCTTTCTTCCTTCCTTCCTTCCTCCTTCTCTCCCTCTCTGTCTCTCTCTCTCTTTCTTTCTTTGAGATGGAGCTTCACTCTTCTGCCCAGGCTGGAGTGCAATGGCGTGATCTCAGCTCACAGCAGCCTCCGACTCCTGGGTTCAAGCGATTCTCCTGCTTCAGCTTCCTGCGTAGCTGGGATTACAGGCATGTGCCACCATACCGGACTAATTTTGTATTTTTAGTTGAGATGGGGTTTCACCATGTTGGTCAGGCTGTTCTTGAACTCCCGACCTCAGGTGATCCGCCTGCCTTGGCCTCCCAAAGTGCTGGGATTACAGGCCTGAGCCACCACGCCCAGGCCATGCCAAGCTAATTTTAATTTTTCTTTTTGAGATGGCACCACCGTGCCCAGCTAATTTTTGTATTTTTAGTAGAGACGGGGTTTCACCATGTTGACCAGGATGGTCTCCATCTCTTGACCTCGTGATCCACCCGCTTCGGCCTCCCAAAGTGCTGGGATTATATAGGCGTGAGCCACCGCGCCCGGCCACTAATTTTAATTTTTTTTTAATGTAAAAGTAGAGTCTTGCTCTGTTGCCGAGGCTGATCTGGAACTCCTAGGCTCAAGAGATCCTCCCATCTCAGCTCCCAATATGCTGGGCTTACAGATGTGAGCCACAGTGCCCAGCCAACCCATGGCTACCTTGAAAACCACTTCACTGTCTTCCAATCCCCCACGCCCAGAGATCACAAAGCTCTTATCCCTCAAACCTAGGACTCGGACTCTCCCTACCTCAGCCCCAGGAGTCTAAACCTTTAGCTTCCTCTTTCCCTGCAATGGAGGGAAAATGAACTCCCGGCCTCCCTCTCCTCCCCCATCCCTCCTCAGCCGCCCCTGCTCAACCTCTGCGCATCTGCTAATTCTCCTTTCCTCCCCTGCAGCCATGTGGCCCCTGAGCCATCGTCACCTCTGTCTGGCCTTCCTGCTAGTCTGTGTCCTCTCTGCAATCTCCTTCTTCCTCCACATCTACCAAGACAGCATTCGACACGGCCTAGGCCTGTCGATCCTGTGTCCTGACCGCCTGGTGACAGCCCCCGTGGCCATCTTTTGCCTGCCGGATTCCCCGATGAGCCCCAACACCTCCTCTCCCTGTCCCCAGCACCCTGCCTCCCTCTCCGGCACCTGGACTATCTACCCCGATGGCCGGTTTGGTAACCAGATGGGGCAGTATGCCACGCTGCTGGCTCTGGCCCAGCTCAACGGTCGCCGAGCCTTCATCCTGCCCGCCATGCACGCCACGCTGGCCCCGGTCTTCCGCATCACGCTGCCCGTGCTGGCCCCGGAGGTGGACAGCAGCACGCCCTGGCGGGAGCTGCAGCTCCACGACTGGATGTCGGAGGAGTACGCGGACTTGGGGGACCCTTTCCTGAAGCTCTCCGGCTTCCCCTGCTCCTGGACGTTCTTCCATCACCTCCGGGAACAGATCCGCAGTGAGTTCACTCTGCACGACCACCTTCGCGAAGAGGCGCAGAGTGTGCTGCGGCGGCTCCGCCTGGGCCGCTCGGGGGACCGGCCGCGCACCTTTGTGGGCGTCCACGTGCGCCGTGGGGACTACCTCCAGGTGATGCCTCAGCGCTGGAAGGGCGTGGTGGGCAACAGCGCCTACCTCCGGGAGGCCATGGACTGGTTCCGGGCAAGGCACGAAGCCCCGGTGTTTGTGGTCACAAGCAACGGCATGGAGTGGTGTAGAGAAAACATCGACGCCTCGAAGGGCGATGTGATGTTTGCTGGCGATGGACGGGAGGCTTTGCCGTGGAAAGACTTTGCCCTGCTCACGCAGTGCAACCACACCATCATGACCATCGGCACCTTCGGCTTCTGGGCTGCCTACCTGGCTGGCGGAGACACTGTCTACCTGGCCAACTTCACCCTGCCAGACTCAGAGTTCCTGAAGATCTTTAAGCCGGAGGCCGCCTTCCTGCCCGAGTGGGTGGGCATTAACGCAGACCTGTCTCCACTCGGGACATTGGCTGAGCCTTGAGAGCTGGGGAGACTTTCCAGAATAGCCTGATCTTTCTTTTTTTTTTTTTGAGACAGAGTTTCGCTCTTGTTACCCAGGCTGGAGTGCAATGGTGCGATCTCGGCTCACCACAACCTCCGCCTCCTGGGTTCAGGCAAATTATCCTGCCTCTGCCTCCCGAGTAGCTGGGATTACAGGCACATGCCACTATGCCCAGCTAATTTTTTGTATTTTTAGTAGAGACAGGGTTTCACCATGTTGACCAGGATGGTCTCGATCTCTTGACCTTGTGATCCACCCGCCTCGGCCTCCCAAAGTGCTGGGATTACAGGCGTGAGCCACCGCGCCCGGCCTAGCCTGATCTTTCTAGAGCCAGCAGGCTGTGGCTCCAGAAGCCTGGCATCTTCTGGAGAAGCTTGTGGTGTTCCTGAAGCCAATGGACACCCTTTCCAGAGCGATTCTAGTTGGGAGAGTTGGAGAGAAGGGGGAGCTTTCTGGAACTGTCTGAACATCTAGAACTAGCAAAATGTCTTTTTCTGATGGCTGGCAGGCTATTCTAGAAGCCACAGTGCCCACCTGCTCTTCCCAGCCCATATCTAGAGTAGTTCCAGATGACTGCCCCCAGGAATAGGAAACTCTCCCTCTGCTCTTTTCTAGAAAAGGGTTACCTCTCCCCTGAGTCCTCAGAAGACTGAAGGAACACATGAATGGTCCAGAGCAAGCATTCAGCAATTCCTTTTCTGTGTTTCTGGAGTGATTCTAGAGGGAGACTTGTTCTAGAGAGGGCCAGGTCCGATGGCTGTGAAGAACCCTGCAGGGCCCTTCTGGAGGGGATGGGTTCTGGAAATCCAGGTAACTAAAGTGAAGAATCTTTTCGGTTTTTTGTTTTTGGAGACAGGGTCTTGCTCTATTGCCCAGGCTGGAGTCTGGAGTGCGGTGTCACGATCATAGCTCACTGAAACCTCAAATGCCTGAGCTCAAGGGATCCTCCTGCCTCAGCCTCCTGAATAGCCGGGACTACAGATGCACACCACCACACCTGGCTAATTTTTGTATTTTTAGCAGAATCGGCGTTTCACCATGTTGGCCAGGATGGTCTCAATCTCCTGACCTCATGATCCACCTGCCTCAGCTTCCTGAAGTGCTGGGATTACAGGCATGAGCCATTGTGCCTGGCCCAGCTAATTTTTTTTTTTTATGTTTTATTTTTGTAGAGACAAGACCTTGTGATATTGTCCAGTCCGTTTGTTGTTGAACTCCTGGCCTCAAGCAATCCTCCCACTTTGGCCTCCCAGAATGCTGGGATTACAGACGTGGCCAAGTGAAGAATCTAATGAATGTACAACTAGAAGCTCAGTGCCCAGCATTGCTGGAAAGATCGACATGAAAGACAAACCATGTCTAGTTGGCCGGCGTCTTGCTCTGTTCACAGTCTCTGGAAAAACCAAGGTAGTTGGTGAGCAGAGCGGGAGTTTGTCCAACCCGGTCCCCAGTCCCTCAAAGACTTTTTTTCATTTGTTTCGAGGCTAAAATGTGAAAGTGGGGTGAGGGATCACTGCTAAACGGTGCAGCTTCTGGAGCGGAACTTTCCAGGGAATCCAAGAACACCTCTTTTTTAAAATAGTAAACTGCCAAGACCTGCATATATTGGCTCTGAGTTCAGGCTGCCACTCACAATGAAGGAAGTTGGTCTTTCTCTGTAGGTGGGCCGCTGGGGGTCTGGGATCTGATTTCTGGAAGTGTGCAGGCATAAACACACCCTCTGTGCTTGTGAAAAGCTGGCAGGTGTTGTGCTCATTGCTAATCACTGTCTGCCCCTGAACTCACGAAACCACTACATCTGGCTTTGGGCAGGTCTGGGATAAAAGGATTTAAAGTTATGCAGACCTTGGACTCAGCCTCAAACCCAGGCAGGAGGGCGAGGTCTGGCCAAGGTGGACAGGATTGTTGAGATCTCAGGAGCCCCCTGCTGTTTTTCGGAGGGTGAAAGAAGAGTCAACTGTGATCACATCCCCCGTCTACTCATCCCATGCTTCTAGGCTTCTCACAGAGTTACAGGTACAGTGAAATTGTACAGTTACAGTACAGTTCCCAACTCACCTGCCACAGGGAAGAGAGCAGGAGGTATGAATTAAAAGTCCCCAGCACCAATCCCTGTCTCTGCGGCTTTTTTTGGAACAAGAGCGGTGTGTGTGTGTGTGTGTGTGTAAGTAGTGAGAGAGTGGAGGAAAAGGCGGGGTGCTTCTAAGGACTTTTTTTTTTTTTTTTTGGAGGCGGAGTCTAGCTCTGTGGCCAGGCTGGAGTGCAGTGCATGATCTGGTTTACTGCAACCTCCACCTCCCCGGTTCAAGCGATTCTCCTGCTTCAGCCTCCCAAATAGCGGAGACTACAGGCGCACGCCATCACGCCCAGATTTTGTTTTTCTGGTAGAGATGGGGTTTCACATGTTGGCAAGGATGGACTCTATCTCCTGACCTCGTGATCCGCCCGCCTCGGCCTCCCACAGTGCTAGGATTACAGGCGTGAGCCACCGCGCCCGGCCTTGAGGACTTTTATTACTCGAGACTGAGAGTACTGTCCCTACTTAGATCTGACAGCCCCTTGTTGCTGGACTTGTGTGACTCGTGGCCTCGGTTTTTCTGGTTCCCTGTTTCGATTACACAGGAGAGAGAGACCTTCCAGGACCCAAAGGTCTGAGCCCCTAGTTGCTCGCTCCTGGACCCTCAATATTGGCCCCCAGCCTTCTCCTCCCCCTGGGACCTCCGCGTGGGAGAAGAGGCGGAGGCGGGAGCGAGCGGATAACCATTGAACTACATTTCCCGGAAAGCTATGGGGTTGGCAGCGCTAATCAGCTACGGACAAAGAGGCCCCAGGGCATTCTGGGAGTCGTAGTCCTAGGGCTAAACCGTTCACTTCGTGGCTCGACAGCCGTTTCTAAGGGCCGTGATGGGGTCGGCAGCGGCGTAGGGCGCCGGATCTGGCCGAAAGCCTAGGTCCTGGGGCAGTGGAAGGAGAGGAAGCTGAAGGCCGGAGCCCGGTTCTTGACTCTGGAAGCCAGAGCAGTCACAAGGATTCCTCTTCGGCAAATGCTGGGAAAGTTCTAGTATGAAAAGGCTGCAGCCTCTGTGACGTCATGGAGCGAGAGGGGGGGCATCCCTCCGTTACAGTCCAATCAGACAGAGCTGGGTTTCTGGGCGGGGCCGAGGAAAATCCCAGGGAAATATCTCTAAGGGAATTCCGGCTGAGAAGCTGGGAGGAGATTGCAGGAGTTCCTTGTAGAGAGGGGATCCTCCGTGAATCAGAAAAGCTCTCGATTTTACGCAACCAACCTTACCCTCATCCCCTACAAAATCCTTGATTTTAGCCCTTGGAAAATTAGCGTGAGTGGTCCTGACCCCGGTTCCTCTTTAAAAGCCCCCAGAACCTGGACTGGGCCTCCCGACGAACCCTAGTGTTAGAGGACACAGGTCAGGAACCGCCCTGTTTGGGGTGCATCACTGTTAAGGGCGCAGCGAGGCTCCTTTCCTTTTCTTTTTTAATTTTTTTTTCTTCGAGACGGAGTCTCACTCTGTCGCCCAGGCTGGAGAGCAGTAGCGCAATCTCCGCTCACTGCAACCTCCACCTCCCGGGTTCAAGCATTCTCTGCCTCAGCCTCCCGAGGCGTAGCTGGGATTACAGGCGCGCGCCACCACGGCCGGCTAGGTTTTGGTATTTTTAGTAGAGACAGGGTTTCACCATCTTGGCCAGGCCCCTCTTGAACTCCTGACCTTGTGATCCTCCCGCCTCGGCCTCCCAAAGTGCTGGGATTACAGGCGTGAGCCACCGCGCCTGGCTGGGGCTCCTTATTCTAAGCAGAAAGGTGCACGCTGCAAATTGGGAGTCCGTTAGTCTTGGGGAAGGGTGAACAAGCACCCCCTGGGTCTGGGATCGCTTGGAGTCTTAAGTGTGTAGTGGAGTCCCAAGGTTTAGGAATTTGGAATGTGTTTTGGTTTGGGAGGAGTTTGGAGTTTGATAATGTCGTGGTTGAGTCTGTATTAGATGATTTATTGGTGTGAGCATTGAATTTTCAGCTTGAGGTTCAACAGGTTTTGGGGGGCCCCCAGAGGAGTGCCTCAGTGTTGCATTTAAGGGTTGGCGTTCAGGATCACGTCAATTTGGGGACTTGTAAATTTCATAGTTTGGGAGTCTGGGAAGGGGCACATGGGGTTGGAAGATTCCAGGTCCTGAGTTTGGAGACTTATGAGTGCTTCCTGTTTACCAGTTTTTCTGATCTGTCAGTTGGGATGCAGTGAGAACCCTAAATTTGGGGTCCCCTAGATTGGGGCTCAGTTTCACCCTTTGGAGGCATTTGGTGAAGGACATATGTCCTCTTTATTTGGAGATTTCCTGAAGATCCTCGTTTCGCAGTTTGGGGACCCCACGGATAGGGTGGCCCAGTGGGGTTTCTTAAGACGGGCTTTGGCTTCTCTCCCTTTAGCTTTCTCCTGCTCTCGGTTTGGGGTGAGAGCACCCTTCCTAACAGTCTCTGGGAACTGCGCGCTGGCTGCAATGGGGCCGCATTTTACCCTCCTGTGTGCGGCGCTGGCCGGTTGCTTGCTTATTGCCGAGGGCTGTGTCATCTGTGACCCGTCTGTCGTGCTGGCGCTAAAGTCCTTGGAGAAGGATTACCTGCCTGGCCACCTAGATGCGAGCCTTCACAAAACCTTAATGGATAAAGTAGAGAAGGCCGTGGCAGATTTCCAGAATCTGTCACTTACTGAGGATGCCTATATGGGAGTCATCGGTGAGGACAGGGGGGAGCTCGGACCCCTGGGTCCTAGGAAGGAGGGGGATAACACCAGGGGGAGGAAGAGGCTGACAGCAGGGTCTCCGGGATTCAGGAATGGAGAAGGCCAAGATGCAAATTCCGAGGTTCCCCAGGGCTAGTAAATATTGTATTCCCTATCTGTAGCTGGCAATTTTATGTAATAAAACTACAACTCCCAGAAGGCGACGGCCGGCTGGTCCCTTAACCAGGCCTATCTTTGCCCAGTAGCCTCATGGGTATTGTAGTTTCTAAGACTAGGCGCTCCAATGAGACAGTAAGGCTGGAATCTGGGGTTGTATGTCCCCTGACAGATGAGGACACATTGCAAAAGGCTTCCTGGAGTTTGCTGAAGGATCTGAAACGCATCACAGACAGTGATGTAAAAGGTAAATGTACCAAGGGAGTGGGGATCAGAATCTCTCAGAGAACCCAGGGCTAGTGATGCCCTGGTCTCTTGGTCAGATACTGGGCTCTGGAACCAGACTGCCTAGGTTCAAATCCCTGCTCTGCCACTTCCTAGCTGTATGGCCTTGAGCAAAGGACTTTGAAACTCTCTTGGCTCTAAAATGCTCCCTCAGTTGTTCAGTTTAAATGTGTATTGCTGGCCAGGCACAGTGGCTCATGCCTGTAATCCTGGTACTTTGGGAGGCTGAGGCAGGCAGATTGCTTGAATTCAGTAGTTTGAGACTAGCCTGACTAACATAGTGAAACCTTGTCTCTACAAAAAATACACACACACACACACACACACACACGGTGGTGTGTGCCTGTAGTCCCAGCTACTTACGGGGTTGAGGCAGGAAGATTGCTTGAGCCCAGGAGGTTGAGGCTGCAATGAGTCATGACCACACCACTGTACTCCAGCCTGGGTGGCAGAGTAAGACCCTGTGCCCGCCATCCCCCAAAATATGCATTGCTTAGCCCAGTGGCTGGCATTATGTTAGACGGTCAGTTTTAGTGCCCTTCCCTGAGAAGGCCAGAAGGTGGAATGCCTGGCAGGCTCTGCAGGCAGAAGCAAGCTTCCAGCACCTCACACGTGGGATGCTGCGGTGTTTCCCCAGACAGTCTGTTCGTGAAGGAGCTGTTTTGGATGCTGCACCTGCAGAAGGAAGCCCTTGCCGCCTCTGTTGCTCGATTCCAAAGAGAGGGTGAGAGAAGATGGGAGCCCGTGTTCCCAGCTCTTCTTTCCACGATCCCAGAGCCCCTGTCTCCAGCCGCTTACTTCTCCAAGCCCAGTTCCTCAGCTTCTCCAAGTCCTTCTCCTTCAGACCTAAGTCTTTTTCTCCTCTAACCCAAGAGCCTAAAGCCCAGCGCTTCCCCCAACCCCCTCTCCCATCGTCTTTCATTTAGAAATCTGATTCTGGCATCTCTTTCTCTGTCTCTCTCTTTTTTTCTCTTTTGACACAGCTTATTGTCCCAACCAATGTGGTGAGTCCAGATTACAGAATTACAGAAGCTAACCCTCTGCTCTTCGTCTGGCCCTCTGAATAGTGAACCTCCCCACTCAACTTTTTGGATGCTGGTGATTTTGCCATTCTCTGCCTTGGAGAGGTTTCTGAGTCTCCAGTATACTTTCTCCACCTTGGATTTCTTGGGGAGCAGGTCATATTCTACTTACCTTCTTTTTTTTTTTTTGAGACGGAGTCTCGCCCTGTTGCCCAGGCTGGAGTGCAGTGGCATGATCTTAGCTCACTGCCACCTCTGCCTTCCAGGTTCAAACACTTCTCCTGCCTCAGCATCCCAAGTAGCTGGGATTACAGGCGCCCACCACCATGCCCAGCTAATTTTTGTATTTTTAGTAGAGACAGGGTTTCACTCTGTTGGCCCAGCTGGTCTTGATCTCCCGACCTCATGATTTGCCCACCTTCGCCTCCCAAAGTGCTGGGATTACAGGCTCGAGCCAGCGCAGCTGGCCTCTACTTACACTCCTTACTGAGCCTTGTTGGCATCCACTTCCTACCCACCTGTGTCCTGGCCCTGGCCCTTTGCCTGACCATCTAGGAATGTCGTAGATGACCTGGCCCCAGCCCTTGGCCCTGACTTCTCCTTGTAGCCATGGCTCTTACTGGGCAAATACAAGCCTTGACCCCGCCCCTCCAGGCATGATGCTGCAGACTCTGATCTGGTGCATGAACTGCAAAAAGGAGGTTCACGCTTGCCGAAAGTCCTACGATTGCGGGGGTAAGAGAACTGGACCCAGCAGGAGGAATTGGTGCAGGTGGGATGGGGTTGAGAGAAGAGACAGTCTCGAGCCTAGATGTGGGTGTGGGAGCAGCAGACAAGAAAAGGCAGGGTTTAGGCTGGGTACAGTGGCTCATGCCTGCAATCCCAGCACCTTGGGAGGCTGAGACGGGAGGCTTGCTTGAAGGCGGGAGTTTGAGACCAGCCTGGTCAACATAGTGAGACCCCCATCTCTACAAAACAATTAAAAAGTTAGCCGGGTGTGGTGGTGCCTTTCTGTAGTCCCAGCTACTTGGAAGGCTGAGGCAGGAGGATTGTCTGGACCTAGGAGTTGGAGGCTGCAGTGAGCTATGATCATCCCACTGCACACCAGCCTAGGCAAAAGAGTGAGACCTTGTCTTTAAATTAAAAAAAGAGAGAGAGACCAGGTGCAGTGGCTCCAACTCAAAAAAAAAAAAAATGTAAGAGGATGAGGGAGGGTTGAGTCTCCCACGGTCATCCCCCACCACCAGAGCGCGACGTGGAGGTTCCACATATGGAAGACATGACCCTGGACTGTGAGTTAAACTGGCATAAGGCTTCCGAGGGCCTCACTGATTACAGCTTTTACAGGGTGATTGCAGCTTCTGCAACCCTTGAACTCCCTAGACTGCAATGCTTGTGTTCTGGATCCAGGGGCCTGCACCCATGACTCTCACGACCCAGGAGGGTGGTCTAGTAGGTGTGGTCTCTACTGACCTCTGGGGACCCCATGCCCTGACCAGTGACACCCTGGATATCCACCTCCCATCCCGAGGCCCTGTGATCTTCTCACCCCAGTACTCCCCCAACCCCTGAATTCCCCAGGCCTCAGTGACCCCTTGAGCTTGGGTCTAGGTTTGGGGGAACAATACTGAGACCCTGGTGTCCAAGGGGAAAGAGTCCACCCTAACCAAGCCCATGGTGGGTCCAGAGGATGCAGGCGACTACCGCTGCGAGCTGGGCACCGTGAATTCCAGCCCAGCCACGATCATCCTTTTTCACGTCACAGGTCAGTGCTGCGGGGTTGAGAGAAGTGTAGGATTCCGGGTCCAGAGGGAATGGGGAAACCGGGGAACCGCTGCGGGGGCGTGGCCTCTGCGATGGGGGCGTGACTTCCTGTTGGGTGTGGCTTCAGGGCACGGGGTGTGGCTTCCTGCCGGGGGCGTGGCCTTTGACCCTGAGGACAGGGGTTCCCTTGGGTGTGTTCGGGCTTGACGCTGTTGGAGGCGTGATTATCCCTGGGATGGCTGGGTACTCTTACGGGCTGGCCTTTGCCAGGGCAGGAACTCCACACCCTGCCAAGACTGCTCTTTACGCTTTCTCTAACAGTGTTGCCCAAAAGGGTCGAGGAGGAAAACCCGTCTCCAAACATCGTAACTCTGGGGGAGGCCAGCCCTACCCAGATCTCCGAGATGACCTCGGAGTCGTCCATAACCCTCCAGCCTCCGAAGCCAGACAGCATGCTGAAAGGCCGCCTTCTGGGGCTGCTGATCTGGGGCTCCGTGGCACTGATAATTGGCCTTACCTTTGCGTGAGCAACTCATTGAAGATGGCAGGCTTGGCTTGGAGTGAGAGGCGAGGCTTCCAGGAACCCAATGCTGAAGCTGGTCTGGGCGCTACTGAGAACTGAGAGTGGGACTTTTCCCGAGGGGTGGGTCTGGGTGGGCTTGCATAGGAGGACTTCGAAGGGCGAGGCTTAGATAGTTGCTAGAATAAGGTGGGTGTTGGGAGGGGTGTTCCCCACTCAGTGAGTAAGTACCTAACCTGGTTCCATGACCTGCACCCCACTCCCACCCCTAGGATATTTTGTCGAAGGAAGGTGATCGATTTCATCAAGTCCTCACTGTTCGGCCTTGGCAGTGGAGCCGACGAGCAACCCCAGGTCCCCAAAGAAAAGGACACAGATTCGATGGACCAATAAAGATTTATCTTGTTGTCTAAGCATCTGACTCACTCCCCGGGACGGGACTGATCCTAGCCTTCGGTTCCCCGAGAGGAGAGGTCTGGGGATGGGCTCCATCCTGAGGGAAGAGGGGCAGGAAACCGGGACCCTTGGGTCCTGAAGGGGACCAATTGACTGCGATGTAATTCCAGAATCAAGGAATGGGGCAGGGCCAGCCCTACCCAGATCTCCTCCCCCAGGCCTGGTCTCCTCACAGGACGCCCCCTCCCCGCTCTTCCTGCCGGGTTTCCTCTTGCCTTTTCCTGTCCCCCACCCAGTGCTGGGAGCCGGGGCAGAGGCAAGGCTGACCGAGAGCAGTGGAACTGACCCAGGCCAGCGGAGCCAGGGCCTCCGGGTGTGCCGGACCCGAAGCAGGGTAAGAGCCAGGGACCCAGCAGCCCATACCACTCCTCCCCGGACCCCAAGACTCAGTCCCCCCGCCATCTTCCATCCCAGGACCCAGGAGTCCAGGGTCCCATCCCTCTCCTCCCCCTGGACTCGGGAGTCTGAGCCCCAGCCCCCTCCTCCCTCTGACTCGGAGTCTAGGCTCCCTCCACCCTATTCCCACTAGAGTGCCTTAAGAGTCGGGGCCTTACCCACCCGCCCTTAGGGCCATGCTATCTGGTGAACGGAAGGAGGGCGGAAGCCCTCGCTTTGGGAAGCTTCATCTCCCCGTCGGCCTGTGGATCAATTCCCCCAGGAAGCAGCTGGCCAAACTGGGAAGGCGCTGGCCCAGCGCGGCCTCTGTCAAGTGAGTGCCATCTCTGCAGAACTCCTCCCCCTGCACACCTGCCTCCTTCTGTCCCTGTTCACGGCCCAGTCCCTGCAAAGGGTTGCCTCCCGTCCTCGGACTGAATTGGGCAAGCGAGCTGGTGGGCAGGGGGAGACAGTGGGGCGCAGCCATACCAGGGCGCCGCGAGGGGAAGAGCTAGGCCTGGAGGTGGAGGGAGGCCGGATGGGCACGGGGATGGGGACAGAAGGAGCGGGGAATTGATTCACCTTCCTTCCTGCCCTCCCTGCTCACCTCTTGGAATTTCCTTCTGTGGGACTTGCCTTTATTTATTTATTATTTATTTATTTCTCTCTTTGCCTCGCGTCTCTGTCCTCACCGCCACCCCCGCCCCGTCCATCCACCCTGGGTCCCTGTCCTTCTCTCTCTGGGTCTCTGCCCACTTCTCTCCTAATCTGTCCCCCGCCTCCGTCTTGGGATGTCTTTCTGGGTCTCTCTCCCGCCACTCTGTTCCCCGGCGGACTCCCAGATCTTCTTCGTCGGACACGGGAAGCCGCAGCAGCGAGCCGATACCCCCGCCTCCGCCGCACGTGGAGCTGCGGCGAGTGGGCGCGGTCAAGGCGGCCGGGGGAGCCTCCGGTAGCCGCGCCAAGCGCATCTCCCAGCTCTTCCGGGGCTCGGGGACCGGGACCACGGGGTCCGGCGGCGCGGGAGGCCCTGGGACCCCGGGAGGCGCGCAGCGCTGGGCCAGCGAGAAGAAGCTGCCGGAGCTGGCTGCGGGCGTGGCCCCCGAGCCCCCGCTGGTCACCCGCGCCACGGCGCCCCCGGGGGTCCTCAAGATCTTCGGCGCGGGACTGGCATCGGGCGCCAACTACAAGAGCGTTCTGGCCACGGCGCGCTCCACGGCGCGCGAGCTCGTGGCCGAGGCGCTAGAGCGCTACGGCCTGGCCGGCAGCCCGGGCGGCGGCCCCGGCGAGAGCAGCTGCGTGGACGCCTTCGCTCTGTGCGACGCGCTGGGCCGGCCGGCGGCGGCGGGCGCGGGGAGCGGCGAGTGGCGGGCGGAGCACCTGCGCGTGCTGGGCGACTCGGAGCGCCCGCTGCTGGTGCAGGAGCTGTGGCGGGCGCGGCCCGGCTGGGCGCGGCGCTTCGAGCTGCGCGGCCGCGAGGAGGCGCGGCGCCTGGAGCAGGAGGCCTTCGGGGCAGCAGACGGCGAAGGTGAGCGGCGGGCGGGGCTCCGAGGCGGGCACCCCGGGCCAGAGAGGCGGGGCCCGTGGACAGCACCTGGGCGGGGCTCGTGGGGCCTGGGCGGGGCTCGTGGGAGGGGACTGGACGGTTTGTGTAGGACTCTAGCCGGTGGAGGCAGGGCTGGACCTCGGCAGGTGGCGGCCAGATGGGGTCGGGGGGTGGCGGGGGCCTGAGAGTTGGGTGGGGCTTGTTGATTGGGTGGGAATTTTACAGGGGTCGGGCTTGGGGCTTAGGCGGGGCGGGGGCCAGTTGTTGATGGTGGCTTGGAGTGGCCTAAAGTGGCTCCGAATTGGGGTTGGGGACTTCTGCATGCATTTCAGGCTGCCTTGGAGGAGGTGGGGTGTGTAGCGGGGTCTGTGGAGTCCAGTGGGATGGGCAGGAGTCTGCGGGAGGCGGAGGGATCCGCCCTGTGTGGTAGGTTAGAGGACACTAGCAATTTGCTGATCTTTGAAAGTTTCCTTCCCTGCCCAATCTCCACTTTCTGGTAGGGTTTCTGCGAGGTCTGTTAGGTGCACATCCTGCAGTTTAGTGGCTTAAAATGTACTCTCCTTTGATGGAGTCTCTTGGGGCCGATTGGGAGACAGAGAAATCAATAGTGCAACTGTTTTCATACCGAATATCGACAAGGATCTTTTTGAATTAAAGAACCAATCCTGGCCGGGTTTGGTGGCTCACACCTGTAATCCCAGCACTTTGGGAGGCCGAGGCGGGTGGATCACAAGTTGAGGAGATCGAGACCATCCTCGCCAACAGGGGGAAAGCCCGTCTCTACTAAAAATACAAAAAAATAAAAATAAAAATTAGCCGGGCGTGGTGGCACGCACCTGCAGTCCCAGCTGCTGAGCAGTCTGAGGCAGGAGAATCGCTTGAACCCAGGAGGCGTAGGTTGCAGTGAGCCGACATCGAGCCACTGTACTCCAGCCTGGGCGACAGAGCGAGCTCTATCTCAGAAAAAAAAAAAAAAAGATCCCAGGTGAGGAGTCAATGGGATAATGTATTCAATGTATAAAGGGCCTAGCACGGGGCTTGGCATAGAGTAGGTGCTTGATAAAGAATGGTTATAATCATTGTCTTTCTCCTGCGCCTCCCAACAGTTGTTTTTTTTTTTAAACAACAATGGAGTCTTGCTCTGTCACCCAGGCTGGAGTGCAGTGGCACAATCATGGCTCACCGCGACCTCCAACTCCTGGTTCAAGCAATTCTCCTGCCTCAGCCTCCTGAATAGCTAGGATTACAGGTGTCCACCACCACACCTGGCAATTTTTTTGGTATTTTTAGTAGAGACCGGGTTTCGCCATGGTGGCCAGGCTTGCCTCAAACTCCTGGCCTCAGCCTCCCGAAGTCCTGGGATGAGCCACCGCGCCTGGCCTGGCCACACCATTTCAGGGCACTGGGGAGTACAGTGGGGACGCTGACAGATGAGGTTTCCACCCTCCCAGATTTCACCAGCCTAGTGAGAAACGCATCAGTCCACTCATGCAGCTCATTTCCACTAGGTGTCTACTGTGTGCCAGGGCTCCTGCTGGGTCCAGAAAAAGCCCAGAGTACCCTGTAGTGAAGTCACCTGCTTCAACTTGGACTGCCAGGGAAAGGTGTTTAGGAAGAAGTGGTTTCTATCTCCTGGAGGGCAGGGTCTTCTCTGTTGTTACCCAGTGACTTGAACAGTCCTAAGCATGTAGTAGGCACTCAATAAATACTTGTTGGCCGGGTGCGGTGGCTCAGACCTGAAATCACAGCACTTTGGGAGGCTGAGGCGGGCAGATCATGAGATCAGAAGATCGAGACCATCCTGGCCAACACAGTCTCTACTAAAATAGAACAACTTAGCCTGGTGTGGTGGCACGTGCCTTGTAGTCCCAGCTACTCGGGAGGCTGAGGCAGGGGAATCACTTGAATCGGGAGGCGGAAGTTGCCGTGAGCCGAGATCGCGCCATTGCACACCAGCCTGGCAACAGAGCAAGACTCTGTCTAAATAAATAAATACTTGTTAAAAGAACAAATGGGCCGGGCGATGTGGCTCATGGCTATAATCCCAGCACTTTGGGAGGCCAAGACCAGAGGTTCACGAAGTCAGGAGTTCGAGACCAGCTAGTTCGAGATCAACCTGGCCAACACGGTGAAACCCCGTCTCTACTAAAAATACCAAAATTAGCTGGGCGTGGTGGTGCGCACCTGCAACCTCAGCTAAGCCGGAGGCCAAGGCAGAAGAATTGCTTGAATCTGGGAGGCAGAGGTTGCAGTGAGCCAAGATTGCACTGCTGCACTCCAGCCTTGGTGACAGAGTGAGATTTTTTTTTAAAAAAAAAGGCCGGGTGCGGTGGCTCAAGCCTGTAATTCCGGCATTTTGGGATGCTGAGGCGGGTGGATCATAAGGTCAGGAGTTTGAGACCAGCCTAGCCAAGATGGTGAAACCCTGTCTTTACTAAAAATACAAAAATTAGCCGGGCATGGTGGCAGGCGCCTGTAATCTCAGCTATTCGGGAGGCTGAGGCAGGAGAATAGCTTGAACCCGGGAGACAGAGGTTGGAGTGAGCTGAGATCCCGCCACTGCTCTCCAGCCTGGGTGACAGAGCAAGAGTCCATCTCGGAAAAAGAAAAAAATAAAAAATAAAAAACTATATGATCAATCATTATTCTTACTGCTCTTACATTTAAAAAAAAAAACAACAAAAACCAAGAACAAATGATTCAATGGAAAAGAATGAATGAAATTCCTGAGCTGAAAACTGCAAGATGGGTATGAATCAGGAGAGAAAGCTGTTCCAGGCACACGGGACAGAATATGCAAAAGCCTAAATGTGGGAAGCAGCCTCACCTCTCTGAGCCCAATTCTTTGTTTCATAATCTGTAACTCTGTGTCTGTCCCTCTCTTTCTAGGCTCAGCCTCACTGTCCTCTCTCTCCGCAGGCACGGGCGCCCCTTCGTGGCGGCCACAGAAGAACCGCTCCCGGGCGGCGTCGGGCGGGGCGGCGCTGGCCAGTCCTGGCCCGGGGACGGGATCAGGGGCCCCCGCTGGGTCCGGAGGCAAGGAGCGCTCGGAAAACTTGTCCTTGCGGCGCAGCGTGTCGGAGCTTAGCCTACAGGGGCGGCGGCGGCGGCAGCAGGAACGGAGGCAACAGGCACTTAGCATGGCCCCAGGGGCAGCCGACGCCCACATCGGACCTGCAGACCCCGGAGACTTCGATCAGTTGACTCAGTGCCTCATTCAAGCCCCCAGCAACCGCCCCTACTTCCTGCTACTCCAGGGCTACCAGGACGCCCAGGTAAGCGCCGCCCCAGCCCCGCACGCCCAGAGCCCTCGACCCCACCTGTCGGGGCAATAAAACTACAACTCCCAGAATTCCCAGGGTCGCGCTAGCGTCAGGTCCTCTGGGGGGCGTGGTCCAGCAAGGTTTCCGAGCGCGGGAGAGTAGAGATTGACAGATGAGATTCACAGGAGGTGAAGAGAAGATGGCTGAGAAAGGGTCCACTGGAGGGAGAAATAGAGAATAGTTCACTTTATTCAGAGTTAGAGGAAAGTACTGTTTTCATCATGGGAGAGTCCAACGCAGAAAGAAGATCCCCGCTGGGCGTTCGGCTCACTCCTGTAATCCCAGCACTTTGGAGGCCAAGGTGGCAGATTGCTTGAGGCCAGGAATTCGAGACCAACCGGGACAAGATAGTGAGAGTCTGTCTCTACAAAAAAAAAAAAAAAGAAGAAGAAAGAAAGAAGGAAAGGAAAAAAAAAGCTGGGCTTAGTGGTGTGCACCTGTGGTCCCAGCTACTCAGGAGACTGAGGCAGGAGGATCACTTGAGCTCAGGAGGTCGAGGCTTCAGTGAGATATAAAGGCACCACTGTACTCCACCCCGGGTAACACAGAAAGCTCCTGTCTCCAACACGAATATTTTTAAAAATGAAAAATTTTTAAAGGAAGATCTCCTTGGAAATATCTGTTTCTTGAGAGGGAGTAACAGGTGAGTCCACCTTCTAGGGCAGGGGTATCATTTGGTGCCTGGGATCATGTTCTGGATAAGCCCGTGTTTTCCCGGTAGGAGTGCATTGACCTCCCCCGCTTTTTTTTTTTTTTTTTTTTTTGGGACGGATTTTCCCTCTGTCACCCAGGCTGGAGTGCAGTGGCGTGATCTCAGGTCACTGCAACCTTCATCTTCCAGGTTCAAGCAATTCTCCTGCCTCGGCCTCCGGAGTAGCTGGGATTACAGGCACCTGCCACCACGTCCAGCTAATTTTTGTATTTTTAGTAGAGACAGGGTTTCACTATGTTGGCCAGGCTGGTCTCTAACTCCTGACCTTGTGATCTGCCTGCCTCGGCCTCCCAAAGTGCTGGGATTACAGGCATGAGCCACCGCCTGGCCACACTGACCCGTTTTTAAAAGGTGATGCTTTATACTGGAACGATTTGACCACTGTTGGTGGAGGCAGGTGGTATTGATCTATCTGTTTTATCTGTCTGGGTACCAATAGAACTTGATTGGTACCAAAGAGGAAGAGAGGATTGGTGGCTGAGTGGGGAGTAATTGCATTAATAGAAATGTGATGTGTTGTCTGGGGCACGGTGGCTCATTCCTGTAATCCCAGCACTTTGGGAAGCCAGAGCAAGAGGATCACTTGAGACCAGAAGCTTGGGACCAGCCTGGGCAACAGTGAACTCTCGTCTCTACAGAAAAAGGACAAAAATTACCCAGGTGTAGTGGCACACATCTGTCCTCTCAGCTACTCAGGGGCTGAGGCAGGAGGATCCCCGAGCCCCGGGAGGTCTGGGCTACAGTAAGCTGTGATCACACCAGTGTGGTCCAGCAGGGAGGGTGAGGCATGTGGTACTGGAAAATTTCTTTTTGTTTTGAGAAGGAGTTTTGCTCCTTTTGCCCAGGCCGGAGTGCAATGGTGTGATGTTGGCTCACCGCAACCTCCATCTACCAGGTTCATGCGATTCTCCTGCCTCAGCCTCCAGAATACCTGGGATCACAGGCCTGCGACACCATGCTCTGCTAATCTTGTATTTTTAGTAGAGATGGGGTTTCCCCATGTTGGCCAGGCTGGTCTTGAACTCCTGACATCAGGTGATCTGCCTGCCTCAGCGTCTCAAGTGCTGGGATTACAGGCGTGAGCCATCACATCCAGCTGAAAATACTCATTTATGTGCAGTGTCGGGGGGATTATCCTTATGCTGTGGCCAGTCTTTGGTTAACAGTGGTATAGCCAGGCTAAATAAGTACAGCTGGGACCAAGGGCAGAGGCCACTCCAGAAGGTGGTGGAGCTTATTGGATAGTTCCATTTTTACGGTTACAGAAAGATCCAACTGGGTGAGGCAGTTTGGCTGTGTCCATGGGGGAGAAGGTAGGATTCTCTTCAGGAAAGAGCTTACGTGGAAGAATTCATTCCTCCTCATAGGGGCGAGGAGATGGGGAGAGCTCGCTGTAGCAAGAGGGCTGCATGTCTCACAACTGCCATTCCTCTGGACAAGGCAGGAGAACACGAGGGTCTCTTGGAAAGGTGTTCAAATTGGAAGGACATTTTTCAGGTGGCAGTTCAGGGTAAGCCTGGGCAACACAGAACCTCATCTCCATAAAAACTGAAAAACAAAAATTAGCCAGGTGGGGTGGTGTGTGCCTATTAATTCCAGCTACTTGAAAGGCTGAGATAGGAGATCACTTGAGCTCGGGAGGTAGAGACTGGGTTTCACCCTTATGGCCAGGCTGGTCTTGAACTCCTGACATCAGGTGATCTGCCCGCCTCAGCCTCCCAAAGTGCTGGGATTACAGGCGTGAGCCATCACACCTGGCTGAGTGCTTGTACTTTTACAGAATGGAGATGAGTCCATGTTTTAGGACAAGGCCTTCTGGTATGCCTGTCTTCATTTGGTAGATGAGGTGAAACACTCCATGGTCAGAAGAGGTGGTTCTTGAAGGCGTTTATTTATGCGCGGAGTTACCAGAAGAGCCCACTATATGGAGATCTTTTTGGAGATGTCCTTTCTGGGGATTGGATTATCGAGGATGTCCAGTGATAGAAGGGGGATTATCTCTTTGAAATCCTCCAGCATGGGAGTTGGAGTAGTAGGTTAGTCCATCGGAGAAGTATGTCTGTTCAGAAGTGAGATCGTCGTGCTGTGGGAAGTTAAGTCCACTGTAGAAATGGGGTCTCTTTGGAGGTATGCACTTGGGGAGAAGAAATTGGAGGAAACTTTTGTTCCAAGGGAACCACCCCCGACACTCTCTCTCTTTTTGAGTCTCACTCTGTTGCCCAGGCTGGAGTGCAGTAGCGTGATCTCTGCTCATTGAGACCTCTGCCTCCCAGGTTCAAGTGATTCTTGTGCCTCAGCCTCCCGGGTAGCTGGGACCACAGGCCTGCATTACTTTGCGATTCTTGGGCCTCAGCCTCCCGAGTAGCTGGGATTACAGGCACGCACCACCGTGCCCAGCTAATTTTTGTATTTTTAGCAGAGACTGGTTTCACCATGTCTGGTCTTGAACTCCTGACCTTAGGTGATCTGCCCGTCCCGGCCTCCCAGAGTGCTGGGATTCTGGGCGTGAGCCATCATGCCTGGTCCAAGGGAATCTCTTTAACAATACCCATTCATTGCTTTGGGAATATTGAGAGAAACTATTATTGGAAGGGGAAATATACCTGGCAACCTATATTATGGTGGGGTGGGGATGCAATAATGGACAGGTGGGACCAGCGATGGGGAAAAGGAGATTTCCTTTGAAAGGTCCATTCTTTGAGGGTGAGGGTCATTGCACAGCCCATTTTAGAAATGGGGGTATCCTTGGAAGCATCTGTTCCTTGGCTGAATGTTATGGGAGAGTCCACCGTAGGAAGGGATTGCCTTGAAGAATCCATTCAGAAGAGGTGAGAAGATGAGAGCCACCACTGGAGAAAGATCTCCTTGGAAGCATCTATTGCTTGAGGGAAAGAAATGGTAGAGCCCACGTTAAGAAAAAGATCTCTGGGGAACTGAGTACGGTGGCTCACACCTGTAATCCTAGCACTTTGGGAGGCCGAGGTGGGTGGATCACCTGAGGTCAGGAGTTCAAGACTGGCCTGGTCAACATGGTGAAACCCCATCTTTAAAAAAGACAAAAAAAAAGAAAAAGAAAAAAGTCTCTGAAACAAAAACCAAAAAACAAAAGTTCTCCAGCCAGATGTGGTGGCTCACACCTGTAATCCCAGCGCTTTGGGAGGCGGAGGCAGGTGGATCACCCAAGGTCAGGAGTTCAAGACTGGCCTGGTCAACATGGTGAAACCCCGTCTCTACTAAAAATACAAAAAATTAGCTGGGCACGGTGGCATGTGCCTGTAATCCCAGCTACTCAGGAGGCTGAGGCAGGAGAATTGCCCAAACCCAGGAGGCAGTGAGCCGAGATTACGCCATTGCACTCCAGTCTGGGTAACAAGAGTGAAACTCCGTCTTAAAAACAAACAAACAAACAAAAAATCAGCTGGGTGTGGTGGCAGGCGCCTGTAATCCCAGCTACTGAAGAGGCTGAGGCAGGAGAATTGCTTGAACTCAGGAGGCAGAGGTTGCAGTGAGCCGAGCTCCTACCACTGCACTCCAGCCTGGACGACAGAGTGAGGCTCTGTCCCAAAACAAAAGTTGCCAGGTGAGGTGGCTCACACCTGTAATCCTAGCACTGTGGGAGGCCAAGGCCAGTGGATCACTTGAGGTCAGGAGTTTGAGACCGGACTGGCCAACATAGTGAAACCCTGTCTTTACCAAAAAATACAAAAAGTTAGTTGGGCGTGGTGGCGCGGGCCTGTAATCCTAGCTGCTGGAGAGGCTGAGGCACAAGAATTGTTTGAACCTGGGGGGCTGAGGTTGCAGTGAGCCGAGATCCCGCCGCTGCACTCTAGCTTGGGTGACAGAGTGAGACCTTGTCTCAAAAAAAAAAAAAAAGCCAGTCGTGGTGGCTCAAGCCTGTAATCCCAGCAGTTTGGGAGGCTGAGGTGGGTGGATCACCTGAGGTCGGGAGTTTAAGACCAGCCTGTCCAACATGGCGAAACCCCATCTTACAAAAAAAAATTAAGAAATTAAAAAGTTGGCGGGAAGAGAAGAGCTGTAGGGAGAGCCCTGAAGCTCTGCGTGGAGGTGCCCGTTCCTCGCGGAGTGATGTCCTCGGTGCACCTTGTTTCCCCCCCAGGACTTCGTGGTGTATGTGATGACGCGGGAGCAGCACGTGTTTGGCCGAGGCGGGAACTCGTCCGGCCGTGGCGGCGGGTCCCCGGCCCCCTATGTGGACACCTTCCTCAATGCCCCGGACATCCTGCCGCGTCACTGCACAGTGCGCGCGGGCCCGGAGCCCCCCGCCATGGTGCGCCCGTCTCGGGGCGCCCCAGTCACGCACAACGGGTGCCTCCTGTTGCGGGAGGCCGAGCTGCACCCGGGCGACCTCCTGGGGCTGGGCGAGCACTTCCTGTTCATGTACAAGGACCCCCGGCCTGGGGGATCGGGGCCGGCGCGGCCGCCCTGGCTGCCCGCACGTCCCGGGGCCACACCGCCGGGCCCCGGCTGGTCCTTCTCCTGTCGCCTGTGTGGCCGCGGCCTGCAGGAGCGCGGCGAGGCGCTGGCCGCCTACCTGGACGGCCGCGAGCCTGTCCTGCGCTTCCGGCCGCGCGAGGAGGAGGCGCTGCTGGGCGAGATCGTGCGCGCCGCTGCAGCCGGCGCAGGGGACCTGCCGCCCCTGGGGCCCGCCACGCTGCTGGCGCTGTGCGTGCAGCATTCTGCCCGGGAGCTGGAGCTGGGCCATCTGCCGCGCCTGCTGGGCCGCCTAGCCCGGCTCATCAAGGAGGCCGTCTGGGTGAGTGCCCCAATTGTCGTCCAGCCCCAACAGCGTCCCAAGTCCCTTCTCCAGCCTTCCCTTCCCACCTGCAACCCTTTTCATAGTTGGGGTGGATGAAACTACTGTTCTCATGAAGCCTCGGGTAGGATTTTGGTTTATTAAGCAACGGCACCCCCACCGCCATAGGATGCTGGGAGTTGTAGATGAATCCACTGCACTTTAAGGAGACAGACTCGGCCTAGGAGAACTCACCTTAGGAAGAAACTATTCTCAGTGTGAGAATTCACCACAGCGCATTGGGCTTGGGGCTTGGAGAGTAGTGAGCAAGTTCATTCTTGGCGGGGAGGAAGAACAAAGCCACTGGACCTACAGATGAAAGTTCCAGAAAGAAACCATTCAGAGTAGGGGACACGTTCCATCCTATTGAGCCAGGGCCTAACCAGAGAGGTTTAAGGAGTTTCTTGAGGGTAATAATTGGAGAAGACCTGAAGGAGCTAGACCACTCATGATCATAGGGTGTGTGTGGTTTTTTTGGTGGTGGTGCTGGTGGTAGGGGTGGTGTTTTGGGATGGAGTCTCGCTCTGTCACCCAGGCTGGAGTGCAGTGGCACGATCTCAGCTCACTGCAACCTCAGCCTCCCAGGTTCAAGTGATTCTCCTGCCTCAATCTCCTGAGTAGCTGGGATTACAGGCGCACACCACCAAACCTGGCTAATTTCTGTGTTTTTAGTAGAGACAGGGTTTCAACATGTTGGTCAGGCTGGTCTTGAACTCCTGACCTTGTGATTCGCCCCCCCCCCCCCCACCTCAGCCTCCGAAAGTTCTGGGATTATAGGCATGAGCCACTGTGCCCAGCCAAGTGTGTGTGTTTCAAAAGGTAAGAAGAGACCATTCGGAAGCTTGTGGGATTAGAACCCATATGAAGAGTGAGGGCCAGGTGCAGTGACTCACACCTGTAATCCTGGCACTTTGGGAGGCCGAAGTGGATGGATCTTTTGAGTTGAGGAGTTGGAGACCAGCTGGGGCAACATAGTGAGACCCCATCTCTAAGAAAAGTAGGACCAGTCTCTGTGAGAATGGTGCTTCTAGAAAAGCCAGGGTATGGGCTGGGCACGGTGGCTTATGCCTGTAATCCTAGCACTTTGGGAGGCTGAGGTGGGTGGATCATCTGAGGTCAAGAGTTTGAGACCAACCTGGCAAACATGCGGAAACCTCGTCTCTACTGAAAAATACAAAAATCAGCTGGGCATGATGGTGTGCACCTGTAATCCCAGCTTCTTGGGAGACTGAGGCAGGACAATCACTTTAACCCAGAAGGCAGAGGTTGCAGTGAGCGGAGATCGCACCATTGCACTCCAGCCTGGGCAACAAAGCAAAAACTCTGTCTCCAAACAAACAAAAAAGTAAGAAAGAAAACCCAGCGTATTAACTCATAAGCCCCTCACTGGATCCGCCTCACTTTGATTCTGATCTTACTGTTTCACAGGAAAAGATTAAGGAAATTGGAGACCGTCAGCCAGAAAAGTAAGAGACATTCTAAGCAGAGAGGTCTGGAGGGATGCAGGGGTTGGGTTTTGTGTCCAATGCTGTGTTCACCCTATTCATGCCTCAGTACAAGTTTCTGGCTTCTCCTTGGCACCCAACTTTTCCAGCTGTGCAGTGGGGGTTGGTCTTGGTCTCCCACTTAGTCTTAGATCTTGGGGTTTGGAAACTATGATGAGGGTTGTGCAGGGATCACAGATTCCTTCCTTTTTTCCAAGCCACCCTGAGGGGGTCCCGGAGGCGCCCCTGACTCCTGAAGTTGTGTCTGTGGAGCTGCGGCCACTCATGCTGTGGATGGCTAACACCACGGAGCTGCTAAGCTTTGTGCAGGAGAAGGTGCTGGAAATGGAGAAGGAGGCCGACCAAGAGGGTGAGCTCTGACCCAGGCTCAGGCCTATCCAAGTCTCCCATCATCCCCTGCACCTGGGAACCTGGGATCCTGGCTGCCAGCCTCTGGTTCCCGCTCTTAACCCCAGTCCTGTGCTCAGACCCACAGCTCTGCAATGACTTGGAATTGTGTGATGAGGCCATGGCCCTCCTGGATGAGGTCATCATGTGTACCTTCCAGCAGTCTGTCTACTACCTCACCAAGGTTGGCCTTGCTTCTTACTTCCTGTTTGATATAACATCACTTCCTGTTTAACATGTCACTTCCTGTTTGATGTAACATCTCTATTTGACTCAAGGTTTTCTGCTTCTCTGACATGACATCCCATCTCACCCAAAGACTTTGCCATTCTGACACCACTTGTCTGAGCTTACATCACTTCCTGCCTTTCTGGCTGCTTTTCCTGTCTTTGTAATTATCACCGGGGCAAATGCCGGGGCTCACATCTGTAATCTCAGCACTTTGGGAGGTTCAGGTGGGTGATCACTTGAGGTTAGGAGTTTGAGACCAGCCTGGCCAACATGGTGAAACCCCGACTACTAAAAATACAAAATTAGGCGTGGTGGCATGTGACTATAATCCCAGCTATTGGAGAGGCTGAGGAACAAGAATCACTTGAACATGGGAGGCGGAGGTTGCAGTGAGCCAAGATCATGCCACTGTACTCCAGCCTGGGAGATAAAGCAAGACTTCATCCAAAAAAAAAAATTAAAATAAAGTCAGGTGTGAAGGCTAACACCTGTAATCCTCAAACTTTGGGAGGCTGAGGCGGGTGAATCACGAGGTCAGGAGTGACCTCGTCTCTACTAAAAATACAAAAATTAGCAGGGTATGGTGGTGTGTGCTTGTAATCTCAGCTACTCAGGAGGCTGAAGTGGGACAATCGCTGGAACCCGGGAGGCAGAGGTTGCAGTGAGCCGAGACCGTGCCACTACACTCCACCCTGGGTGACAGAGTGAGACCGTCTCAAATAAATAAAATAACAGAAAAGTGATCACCGCTTTTGACAGGCTGACCTCACTATTTGGTAACACCACCATTACCACCTTCTGAATCTCCCACTTTCTAAGTTTTATATATAATAGATAAATGATTGATAGATAGCGATTAGATTGTGCCGGGAACTGTGATTTAAACTAAAGATTCTCTTTAATCAGGCCCCACCTCCTTCGCTTGCTGACCTCACTTCCCACAGCTCTGAATTCACTTCCCTTTCAGAGCCACAGATCTTTTTCTCTGAGTGCCCTTCCTGCAAGGGCTTGCTTTCTGCCCCAGTTTCCCCACCACTACCCTTGACCTTAACACTGCTGCTTGGCATTCTCAGGGTTTCTGGCTTATGGTGGGCCTGATGCCCTATTTGCAAAAATGAGGGAGGATCTTTTGGGACAGTCTCTCAATTCCTCTAGCAGCCTGGATTGTGAGGCCCTTTCCTCCTTCACTTCTGATATATTCCTGCCAAGTGTTGAGTTTATTTCTTCTGTTTCTGACCTCATTTCCTGTCCTTTACCTGATCTCACTTTCCACCGGCAAGCTGCCATCCCACTTCCACTTCCCGACTGTCCATTTTTTTTTCTTTCCTTTGGAAATCCGGGATGAATAATTCTTTGACTAAAAGAGAATGCTTTGTCTAGTATCCTCTGTCCTCCTTGAGCTGTCTCTGCTGAGAACTACAAGTTCCACAATGCATAAGAGATCATCTTAAAATAGTCAAGAGACTTATATACCCTTCCACCAACTAGGGATTTGCTCATGGAGTCCCTTTGAGTGTTGACTGTAGAATGGACTACAACTCCCAGAAGGCCTTGGTAGAGCTCCCCATTATCTTCATGCTCTGTTACCCTGATGCTGCCTGGGAGTTGTAGTCCAATCACTTATTTCCACCTCTCTCCCCTCAGACTCTGTATTCAACGCTGCCTGCTCTCCTGGATAGTAACCCTTTCACAGCTGGAGCAGAGCTGCCTGGGCCTGGCGCGGAGCTGGGGGCCATGCCTCCAGGGTTGAGACCTACCCTGAGTGTGTTCCAGGCAGCCCTGGAACTGACCAGCCAGTGCGAGCTGCACCCTGACCTCGTGTCTCAGACTTTCGGCTACTTGTTCTTCTTCTCGAATGCATCCCTTCTCAACTCACTGATGGAACGAGGTGAAGGTTGGCTGGGAGCCACTGAGGCTCAGGTCAAATTAGACACATCGTGGGCTCCGGCCTCACCTTTGGGTACCCTGGAGAACAGGCTGAGGGATAGGAACAGTCTGGGGGGGCAGGAGGACAGAGTCCAGCCAACCAACTGCCTCTCATACCCTCATGCCCACAGGACAAGGACGGCCTTTCTATCAATGGTCCCGAGCTGTTCAAATCCGAACCAACCTAGACCTTGTCTTGGACTGGCTCCAGGGAGCTGGGCTGGGCGACATTGCCACTGAGTTCTTCCGGAAACTCTCCATGGCTGTGAACCTGCTGTGTGTGCCCCGCACTTCTCTGCTCAAGGTAACTCCCGGTCAGCTGTACCTGACCTCTGAACCCCTCTCAGCCACCTTCTGTATTCAGCTCCCCCTTGGACCTCCCCATGCCATCCCCAGCCTCAGCTCAGACATTGTGGGTAACACATTAGCAGCTAGAAGGAAGCCAGCACCAACAATGACCAAACTTGGCTGTGTCTGAATAGTTTCCAGGCTGGGCGCAGTGGCTTGCACCTGTAATCCTACTGCTTTGGGAGGCCTAGGTGGGGTGGATCACTTGAGGCCAGGAGTGTGAGACCAGCCTGGCCAATATGGCAAAACCCCATTTCTACTAAAAATATAAAAATTAGCCAGGTGAGGTGGTGCACACCTGTAATCCCAGTTACTCAGGAGGCTGAGAGTGCACCACTGCACTCCAGCCTAGGTGACAGAGTGAGACTCTGTCTCAAGTTTCCAGGGTCCCTCCCTCAGACATGTGAGTCAGGAAGTCTGGTATGAGACCAAGTATGGTTGAAACATTCATTTAGGCTGGGTGTGGTGGCTCATGCCTGTAATCCCTGCACTTTGGAAGGCCAAGGCAGGCAGATCATGAGGTCAGGAGTTAAGAGACCAGCCTGGCCATTATGGTGAAACCTCATCACTACCAATAAATACAAAGAGCCAGGCATGGTGGTGCACACTTGTAGTCCATGCTACTCGGGAGATTGAGACGGGAGTGTTGCTTGAACCCAGAAGGCAGAGGTTGCAGTGAGCTGAGATCACACCACTGCACCTGGGCCGGGGTGACAGGTTACCATTTTTCAGAGGAGGAAACAGAGTCAGGACAGTTCATGTGATTTATTTTTCTTTTGCTTTGTTTTTAAATGCTACAAAAACTGTTTCCATAGATATTCCAACTCCTAAGCTCAAGTGATCTTTGGCCCCTGCTTCCTGCGTAGCTGGGACTACAGGCACGTGCCCCCACACCTGATTAATTTTTTGTAGACAGGATCTCACTATGCTGCCCAGGGTGGTCTCAAGCAATCCCCCCACACTGGCTTCCCAACGTGCTGGGATTACAGGCAGGAGCCACTGCACAGTGAACTTTCTTTTGAGACACGGTTTTGCTTTAGCCCTGGTATTGGACTGTAGTGGCTGACTGCAGCCTCAACCTCCTGGGCTCAAGGCTGGGCTGCCACCTCAGCCTCCCAAAATGCTGGGAGTACAGGCAGGAGCAACCACACCCAGCCCACTATAAACATGTGATACAAACAAATGAGGCTGCAGCAATGATCATGCTGTTGCACTTCAGCTTGGGCAAGAGTGAGACTGTTTAAGGACCAAAAAAAACGATGACTCCCAAGTCCATCATCAGCTTCAGTAATATGAGGAATGGCCAATTTTGTTTTTCTGCCTCCACTTTTTTTTTTTGGGAGACGGAGTTTTGCTCGTTACCCAGGCTGGAGTGCAATGGCGCGATATCGGCTCACCGCAACCTCTGCCTCCTGGGTTCAAGCAATTCTCCTAACTCCCGAGTAGCTGGGATTACAGGCACGCACCACCCTCCCCAGCTAATTTTTGTATTTTTAGTAGAGACGGGGTTTCACCTTGTTGACCAGGATGGTCTCGATCTCTTGACCTCGTGATCCACCCGCCTCGGCCTCCCAAAGTGCTGGAATTATAGGCGTGAGCCACTGTGCCCGGCCCGCTGCCCCCACTTCTTTCCTGTATCCTCATGTATCCTGAGGCAAATGCCATTTTTTAAAAATTGCTGGGAGTGGTGATAGACTTCATAGTGCATGGAAGACACTGCAGAGATGTCATTATCTCCCTGTCAGTCCCACTCCCTTTAAGGCAATCCTTCCATTTCTCTGTTGCCCCATAATGACTATAGACCTTTCACCCGATTTTCCCTCCAGGCTTCATGGAGCAGCCTAAGAACCGAGCACCCCACCTTGACCCCCGCCCAGCTGCACCATCTGCTCAGCCACTACCAGCTCGGCCCTGGTCGTGGGCCACCATCTGCCTGGGACCCTGCCCCTGCAGAGCGGGAGGCTGTGGACACAGGTGAGGAGCAATGGGATACAAGCAGAGGGGTTGTCAGCGCTGCTCTTTTCTCAGGACCTAGAAGTCCAGATTCCCAGTCACCTCCTCATCCCAGGTTCTAGATCCCTGTCTCTCGTCTGCAGGACATAAGTGCAGGACCTAGCCCCTTTCCTCCTCTACGGGAGTTCAAGGCCCCAGCTCCCTTTAGTCTCAGGGGTTTGCATTCCTTGTTCCTTCCCTCCACCATCCAGCCACCCACCAACCCTAGGGGTTCAGGTCTCAGGCCCCTCCAACTTTAGAAATCTGTAAGGTAAATTCCAGCCGTTTCTCAAAGATCTGGGAAGCGGGTTCTTAAGCCATGGTGGCCTTCCATCGTCTGAACTACAACTCCCATCATGCCCGGGGGCTCCGAGAGTCGCGTGTGAACGGACCCTGCCTTGGGAGTTGCTGGGATTTGAAGTTTTTGTTTCCTTTGGGTATGATGCAACCACCTCATGCCCACTTTGACTCTAACTCCATCATCTTCGGTCTTACAGGGGATATCTTCGAAAGCTTCTCCTCGCACCCGCCCCTCATCCTGCCCCTGGGAAGCTCGCGCCTGCGCCTTAGCGGTCCAGTGACGGACGACGCCTTGCACCGAGAACTGCGCCGGCTCCGCCACCTCCTCTGGGACCTTGAGCAGCAGGAGCTGCCAGCCAATTATCGCCACGGGCCTCCCGTGGCCACTCCTCCTTGAAGACCAATAGCAGATGAGCGCGCGCATGTTGAAAGGGCACAGGCTCCTCCTTCTGGGAGCCCGCCTGAGTACAGCGCTCTCTGGGAGTTGTAGTTTTTATCTCGCGTGGACTGCTGAGAGAGTGAGTTTTCAGGAAGTAGCAGATGGGGCGGTGGGAGCTTGGGCTTAGGATGTGAATATCAAGAAGCAATAAAGGTATTTGTGGTATCGGCAGAGCCTGGGTTGTTTCTGCAGAACAAGGTTGCAGGGCCTCTATCTGGGCCCCCGCCGAGTCCAAGGAGGTATTTATAGCCACCGCCTTGGCTCGCCCTTTTGCATGTAATCCAACCCCAGAGCACTGGAGCCTCCCACACCCCTCAGAACACAGCCCCACGCTTGCTCTGCCGATTATCAGGCCCTCAGTCCTCACAGTGGGAACCAGCGATCCCTCCCTCCACCACCACCCCCGCCCCGCCCCAACACATCCATAGTCCAGCACCCTCCTCCCTCAGACCCAAGAATCGGAGTCCCCAGCCCCCTCTGGATCCGTTTACCTGCAGGGTACACTACCAATCCCAAACCCTGTCCTTGTTCCCAGCACCCCCAGAGTCCAGGCTCCTGCCTCTTTTTCTTCAAACCCTGGAGTCCAAGTCCCCATCCCTCTCCTTTCTTGGATCCAGGAATCTGGGCCCCCAGTTTAAACTTTTCACTCCCCTGAACTTGACTCCTGTGCTGCGTCAGGGAAAATGCAAGCGACAGGTGGCACCTGCCGGCAGGGCTGGGACACGACCACCTGCCGCTGCTGCTCACGCGGCGCCCCACTGCGGGCACCTGCTTCTGTCAGTCCTGCCGCCGCTCCACCCGACCCCACAGCCCCAGGACGCAGCAGGAGCGAGCCGGGAAACCCCCCCCTTCCACCTCCCAGCATCCCCCCTCCACGGGCCCGCTCAGGCCCTCCCCATCGGTTCTCCCCCCTTCTCAGGGTCCCCCGCGGGGCTCCCGGCACACCCCAGGAAGGTGGGGCGGGGGCGGTCCCTGGCTAGTAGGCGGAGCCTGCGGCGTCCAGCCTCGGCCTCTAGAATCAACCCGCCCCAGAGCACAGCTTCGCCGAGCCCATCTGGTGAGAAGCCCCTGGGGTGGACGGGGGGCGCACTCCTCTTCTGTCCCCTATCTGGTCCCACTCCCTTCCCCAGCCACCCCAGGGGTTGACACCCCACTCCTTCTCAGATGCAAGTCACAGGGACCCTTCTGTTCCTCAGAAACCTGTCACGGCCCCGTTCCCCTCTCTACCCAAGATCTTGGATTCCGATCTTCTTAAAGTATTGGGGTCCAGCCCTTAACCTCCTTCTCCTTCAAGATTCAGGAGTCCAGCCCTGCTGCTTCCTTCCTTTCCTAGACGCAGGGGTCCCCACCCAGGATGCCCTCCTCCTCAGGACCCAGGAGTCCCAGATAGCAGGTCCCTCCCCTCCCGGGATCCAGGAGTTGAGGCCCTCAGCCCCTGTCTCTCACACCAGGGTTCTGGGTCCCCCCCCCCCCCCCGCCGCTTCCTCTTCCCACAGAATAAGGGGCCCGGGTCCGCAGCCCTCACCTCTGCAGCCCCTGGGCTCCGGAAGTTATGACCCAAGGCTACTCCTATCCCACCTCTGTTGGGCCCTTTCCCTGCTGAACTCACGGGGACAGCCTCCTGACCTCCACTCTGAGCCTGCCCTCTGTGGGGCCCCCGCCCTCCCCCAACCTTCCTCCAGGTCCCCATCCCGGCCTTGGCAATGACCCTGGCAGCTTCCTCCCAGCGTTCCCAATTCATTCGCTCCAAGTTCCGATCTGGTGAGAGAGGGCTCTCTTCACGCGTGGGGGATGGGATCCTGAGTATGCTGTCCTCTGGGGTGGGAGGGGTGGCGGGACCCGTGAGGCATGTGTTTGTGTGCAAAAGGTCACTTTGCAAAAAGAGGCCCCAGCACAGGGGTCGAGCTGTGGTGGATCAAAAAGTGTGCCAATGGCGAGTGCCACGCTCATGGGAGCAATGGGGATAGGTGGCCAGGGGTGGGCGTGCAGAGGGTTCAGGGACTGTGGAACAACGAGGGCTTACACTGGTGCATGTGCAGAGGCTGAGGAGCAGAGGAGGGACTTCAGATGAGCAGTTTGGGAGTTTGGGTGAGGGGACAGTGAGCTGTCAAAGTTTCAAAGGTCTTGCTTTTGGTCCCAGGGCAGGCAAAAAGTATGCAAGTGTTTTGAACTAGAGGTCAGTTCCTGAGAAGGCAAAGGCACATGAGTGCGCCTGTGCGGTTGGATGGGTGCAAAGACACCAATCACCAAAGAGCAAGGAGTGTGCAAAAAGCTGCCATGAGCCGGGCACGGTGGCTCACGCCTGTAATCCCAGCGCTTTGGGAGGCCGAGGCGGGTGGATCACGAGGCCAAGAGATCGAGACCATCCTGGTCAACATGGTGAAACCCCGTCTCTACTAAAAATCCAAAAAATTAGCTGGGCATGGTGGCACGTGCCTGTAATCCCAGCTACTCAGGAGGCTGAGGCAGGAGAATTGCCTGAACCCAGGAGGCGGAGGTTGCAGTGAGCTGAGATCGCGCCATTGCACTCCAGCCTGGGTAACAAGAGTGAAACTCCGTCTCAAAAAAAAAAAAAAAGCTGCCTATGTCCAGGCCCGGCGCAGTGACTCACCCTTGTAATCCCAGCACTTTGGGAGGCCGAAGTGGGCGGATCACGAGGTCAGGAGTTCGAGACCAGGCTGGCCAACATGGTGAAACCTCTCTATGGAAGATACAAAAAAATTAGCTGGGCATGGTGACCAGGGCCTGAAATCCCAGCTACTCAGGAGGCTGAGGCAGGAGAATCACTTGAACCCGGGAGGTGGAAGTTGCAGTGAGCTGAGATTGTGCCATTGCACTCCAGGGTGAGACTGTCTCTCTCTCACTCACACACACACACACACACACACACACACACACACACACACACGGTGTATATGTCAAGAGAAGAGCAGAAATGTGCAGATAGATCCTTGCTCCCAAACTGGGGGACAAACCTTTAGTGCACAGTAAGATAGTTAAAATTCATCCTGGCTGGATACAGTGGCTCATGCCTGTAATCCCAGCATTTTGGGAGGCCAAGGCAGGTGGATCACCTGAGGTCAGGAGTTCAAGACCAGCCTGTCCAATATGACAAAACACCTCCTCTAGTAAAAATACAAAAAATTGACCCTGGGTATAGTGGCTCATACCCGTAATCCAAGCACTTTGGGAGGCCGTGGTGGGTGAATGGCCTGAGCTCAGGAGTTCAAGACCAGCCTAGGCAACATGGTGAAACTCCATCTCTACTAAAGTACAAAAAATTAGCTGGACGTGGTGGTGCATGCCTATAGTCCCAGCTACTCGGGAAGCTGCAGCAGGAGAATTGCTTGAACCCGAGAGTCAGAGGTTGTAGTGAGCTGAGATCGCACCACTGCACTCCAGCCTGGGTGACACAGCGAGGCTGAGTCTCCAAAAAGAAAAAAATTAGCATGGTGTGGTGGCAGGCACCTGTAATCCCAGCTACTTGGGATGCTGAGGCAAGCGAATCACTTGAACCCTAGAGGTGGAGGTTGCAGTGAGCCGAGATCGCAACACTGCACTCTAGCCTGGGTGGCAGAGTGAGACTCCGTCTCAAGAAAAAAAGATAGTTGACATTCATTCTGGGCAACACAGCAGCAAAACCCTGTCTCTACAAAAAAAATCAAAACCAATTTAGCTAGGTGTGGTGGTACATGCTTGCAGTCCCAGGGACTCAAGAGAAAGTTGGGAGGATGGGTTGAGCCCAGGAGTTCAAGGCTGCAGTGAGCTATGATCTCGCCAGTGCACTCCATCCTGGGCTACAGAGCAAGACCCTGTCTCCAGAAAAAAATAAAACAAATTTTTAAAAAGGGAAGAAGTGTTAACACAGAAGCTGGCCAGGCATGGTTGCTCACGCCTGTAATTCCAGCACTTTGGAAGGACGAGGTGGGTGGATTACCAGGTCAAAAGATCAAGACTATCCCGCCCAACATCTTGAAACCCTGTCTCTACTAAAAACACGGGAAAAAATTAGCTGGGTGTGGTGTCTCGCACCTGTAGCCCCAGCTACTCAGGAGGCTGAGGCAGAATCGTTTCAACCCGGGAGGTGGAAGTTGCAGTGAGCCGAGATCGTGCCATTGCCCTCCAGCCTGGCGCCAGAAAAATGGCATGTGTGCCAAACTAGAGCCCAGAGAGATGCATATTTAAAATGTGGACATTCGGAGAGTGTTGACTGTGGGAAGGCCCCAAGATAGGGCAGAAAGTAGCAGGACTGCATGGGTGAGGGGAGGCGAGGTGCAAAGGGCCAGGCTGCCAAGATGGCAACTGCGCAGGGGGTGGGGTGGGCACACGCTTGCTCGTGGAGGGGGCGGGTGGAACTGGGGGCAGGGCTGTCGCCTGCCTGCATGCTGGCTGGCTCCTAGCCCCAGAGTGGTGCTGGCCTGAGGCGCTGTGCTGGCAGGGAGCCAGCGGGAGGCCCAAGGAAGGGAGCGTGCTGCCCGCCCACCCGCTTGCAAGGACTGTTTAAGGGGGCTGGGCACGCGTGTCCCGCCAACAACTGCAACTCCCACCTCCCCGCCAAGGCCAGGCTCCTGGACACTCCCTTCCCGCCTTCCTCCTCCCACCTTCCACCTCCCTCCTCCCCTCCACAGTCCTCCAGCTTCGGATCCACAGACGGAATCAGGAGCAGAGTAAGTGTGGGCCCTTAAAGGGAGGGGATGGTGATCTGCCTTCACAGGGACATCCGTCACTGGTTACTGCAGCTCAGTCCCTGTCCCCCAGGAGAAACCAAAACCCATCAAGTCCTTTCCCAAGGATCCGGGGGTCCAGGTCCCTGGCCACCCCACCCCTAGGAGCTCTGCTTCCCGATTCTCCACCCCAGTGAGACGCATGAGTTTGGATCCCGCTTCTTTAGAGAAGACAGGCATCCCAGTTTCCACATTTGTTATACATGAGAAGCTGGGATGGAGTCTCACTCTGTCACCAGGCTGGAGTACAGTGGCTTGATCTCAGCTCACTGCAACCTCCCCTTCTCAGGTTCAAGCGATTATCCTGCCTCGGCCTCCTCCTGAGGAGCTGGGATTACAGGCGCCTGCCACCACACCTAGCTAATAGTCATATTTTTAGTAGAGACGGGTTTTCACCATGTTGGCCAGGCTGGTCTCGAACTCCTGACCACAAGTGATCCACCCGCCTCACACTCCCAAAGTGCTGGGATTACAGGCATGAGCCACTGTGCCCAGCATGGATGTAGCTTTCAGCTTTTCCCTCTCTCCAATAACCAGGCATGCAGGCCCCACCCCTGTCCTAGCAAAACCTCAGACATCTGGGATCCTCAGCTACCACACCCCTTTGTGATAGAAAATTCCTGCTTTACTTCAGAATGTAACAACCGGGGGCCCCTACACCTCCACCCTCAGATCTAGCAGTCTTGGTGCCCAACTCCCAGCACTCAGGTCTTGCTCCCTGGCCTGCCCTCCTGCACCGTGGGGCCCCGCTTTCCACACAGCCCTGCTCCTCCCGGCCTGGCTGGCTGCCTGCAGGCCTCTCAGGGTCCTTCACCCATCTCTCTAGTCTCGGATCCTGACCCGTGGATCTCAGCCTCCAGCCCGGCTCTAGCCCCGGCCTTGCCCTCTGGCACGGCCCCTTTCCTCTTCAGCCCTGGGGTCCTGCTCCCTGAGCCCGAATCCTGTCCTCCTTGGGGGTCCCAGAAGAAGGTGAGTCTGGACTGGAGGGAGAGGTCCCTCTGTTCCCCTTGCTACTGCTGCCATTTTTGCTCTTCTTTGGGGGCGCGGAGCTGACTGCATACTTGGCATGTAGCCCCAGGGATGGGGGCGGGGAAGGGGCAGCAAGGCCGGAGCCGCACTGAGGCCCAGCACGTGACACCTGCTCTTTCAGGAGTCTCCCAAGACCTCCCAACGGTGGAGGGAGTCCAAGCCGAGGGGGAACTTGACATACCACCAGTACATGCCCCCAGAGCCAAGACAGGGAGCCAGGGCTGGCCCCCAAGCTGAGGGGTCCGCCCTGGGTCCTCCTGGGCCACCTCTGTGGGAAGGGACAGACTCACAGCAGCCACATCCTAGGTATGACACCCATTTCCCTTCTGGGACCCAGAAATCCAGGTCCCAGCATCTCCTGCCTCAAACCTAGAGTCCAAGACCAGTGTAGTCGGGCCCCAAACCCCCCACCTCCCCCAGGGTTTAAGAGTCCAGGATCCCAGCCCCTGGCCCTTCAGACCCGAGTATGAGCCCCCAGTTCCTTTTCCCCTGGTTACAGAAATCTAGCCCCATGTTTGTGCCCTCGGAGACCCAGAATTCTGGGCCCCCACTTTTCTGCATCTTCCCCAGCCCCCTAACCTTTCGGTTTGAGGACCCCAGAACGCCTCCCCCACCCCCGTCCCTCTAACCTTTGCTCATCCCTCACAATTATCGCCAGGATGAAGCCCACTCCCCTCACTCCCCGCCCACCAGGAGTCCCCAGACCCTCGCCCCCTCCACACAAGTTGGAACTCCAGACCCTTAAACTGGAGGAGCTGACGGTGAGTTTGGGATGCAACTTTCCAGGCTGCTTCTCTCCCTCGGTGGGGTCTCAGAAATCCAACCCCGCAGCCTCTGCCCCCTGCAAATCCAGGAGGTCGGGTACCTAGTCCCATCCTGTTTTAGGGTCCCAGGAATCCAGACCCCCAGTGCCTTTCTGTTTCCAAACATCCCGTCCTGGCTCCCGCCTGCGCCCGGAGTTCGCCCAGCACCGCCTCTCCCCACCCCTCCTCCCCAGGTCTCAGAGCTCCGGCAGCAGCTGCGCCTGCGGGGCCTCCCAGTGTCGGGGACCAAGTCTATGCTCCTGGAACGCATGCGCGGCAGCGCCACGCCCCGCGAGCGGCCAAAGCCGCGGCGCGAGGACAGTCCCGCGGGTGCTCCCTGGCCGCGCCTCAGACCCAAGGCCCTGGCAGCCGCCCGGCGGCCGAGCTTGGTGAGGGCGGGGATATGCGTGTGTGGACCAATAAAGGGAAAGCAAAGTGGGATGGGTCGGGGAGTCTAAAAAACTAGCCAATGAAGTGTGGGGGCGCGGCCTAGCGGTGGGAAGCCTTGAAGGCGAGGGGGCGTGGTTCAGAGCAACAGAAGGCGGATCTTTAGGGAAGAGATAATGAAAGAATAGGGGGCGAGGCCAAAGGAAGAACGGAGGAGCGAGGGGCCGCGACAGGATCAAGAGGCGGAGCCACACGTTGCGAGTGGGTGGGGTTGCGCCCGGTGGGCGTGGCTTACGGGAGATCGTCCTCTTGACGGTTCTAGGTCAAGCCCAGCGCAGCATCTCACCTGCCAACTCTTCCACGTGCCGCGGATACCCCGGGGATGGCTCCAGCTCCAACTACCGCTCTGGCTGCAGCTCCAGCCCTGACCCCTTCCTCCGCGCCGGGCTCCGTGGCTCTGACTCTGGAGGAGGAGCTGCAGGAAGCAATCCGGAGGGCGCAGGTAAGAGGGTGCAGGTCGAATCCGCGCTGGGGGTCTCCAGTCAAGCCCAGGTCAGAGTCCCGAGTTCATGCCGAATTTTCCCATCCGCAGTTGCTTCCGAACCGGGGCATCGATGATATCCTGGAGGATCAGGTGGAGCCTGTTGGTATGATCTGAACTCCTAGATTTGGGGGAGATGGGCCTTGAAGTTCTGGTCTCCTGCGTCCGCGGGAGGCGTGGGCCGGGGAGTTGAACTCCTAGAAATGGTGTATGGGGGGCTGGCGCCCGGATCCCTGACTTTCCAAGCTCACGTATCATTCTTTATACCGTAGACCCCCTGCCTCCCATCCCCCTGGACTTCCCTGGCTCCTTCGACGTGCTGTCTCCCTCCCCGGACTCAGAAGGCCTCTCATCTGTTTTCTCCTCTTCACTCCCGTCCCCTACGAACTCCTCCTCCCCTTCTCCCAGGGACCCCACGGACTCCCTGGACTGGCTGGAGGCCCTGAGTGGGGGTCCTCCACTGGGTTCTGGTCCCCCAGTCCCCAGCATCTTCTCTGCTGACTTATCTGACTCCGGCAGTAGCCGGCTGTGGGACCTGCTGGAGGACCCGTGGTGATGGATTCAGGGGTTTCCAGAAACAGAGAACTGGTGGGGGTGGAGAAAAGCTCCCTGGGGGAGGAGAGGGAAGGACCAGTAGAGCCCCTCCTATTGCAGACACAGGATTGGAGACAACCTCCCACCCCACCTGCCTCCTGAAGTGCTGCTGACTGCCTGAACTTTGCCTACTTGGCCTCCTTAAGATCCCCCTCCAGGGTTGTACGGTTGGGGGGCTCCTTTTGCTGCTGGCCACGGCAAACAAGCTGCTTGCTGCTTCTTTCAAAGACCTCATGGATGTTTTTACATGTCCCTACCCACAGTGGATGGCTGCCTATTGTCTGGGGGGCCTGGAGAGTGGTTATGCCTTTTGGATACAGGAGAGGAGCAAGAAAGAGTGGAGGGGGAGAATGGGGAGCAAGAACTTGACCCCCCAGGGTTCTGGTTGGAGATGAAAATATTAGCAACATCTGGTCTAAGATCAGCTTCTCTTGGAAGCAGAGCCTGAGGCGAGATATAAATGCCAGTGATTTATTAAAGAAGTGTTCACCTGGATTCGGCTGGGTGCACTCTGGGAGGCCGAGGCGGGTGGATCATGAGGTCAAGAGATCGAGACCATCGTTGTCAACATGGTGAAACCCCGTTTCTACTAAAATTACAAAAATTAGCTAAGCATGGTGGCACGCACCTGTAGTCCCAGCTCAGGAGGCTGAGGCAGGAGAATCACTTGAACCTGGGAGGCGGAGGTTGCAGTGAGCCGAGATTGTGCCACTGCACTCTAGCCTGGTGATAGAACAAGACTCCATCTTAAAAAAAGTATTCCAGCCGGTGCAGTGGCTCATGCCTATAATTCCAGCACTTTGGGAGGCCGAGGTGGGTGGGTCACCTGAGATCAGAAGTTTGAGACCAGCTGGCCAACATGGTGAAACCCTGTCTCTACCAAAAATACAAAAAAAAAGAAAGAAAAAAATTAGCTGGGCATGGTGGTACACGCCTGGAATCCCAGCTACTTGGGAGGCTGAGGCAGGAGAATCACTTGAACCCGGGATGTGGAGGTTGCAGTGAGCCAAGATTGTCCCATTGCACTCCAGCCTAGGCAACAAGAGCAAAACTCCATCTCAAAAAACAGAGAGAGAAGTGTTCCCAGGAGAAACCAGTAGAAGAGTGGGGAAAACAGGACAGCAAAGGGGAAGAGGAACAAGAGGTGACTTCATGTGAGGTCAACCTTAGCCTAATCCTCTGGGGAGCTCCAGAGCACAAATTATGTTGTGGAGTCTTTCCCATCTTGGGACTCATGGAACTGGGCCTTTGTATCTTCCTGTTTGAGCTTCTTATAGCCTAACAACAAACCACCCCCAGACCAGCCTCAGTGGCTCACACCTGTAATTCCAGCACTTGGAGACGCTGAGGCAGGCAAATCACTTGAAGCCAGGAGTTTGAGACCAGCCTGGCCAACATGGTGAAACCCTGTCTCTATCAAAACTATAAAAAAAATTAGCCGGGCGTGGTGGCGGGAGCCTGTAATCCCAGCTACTTGATAGGTCAAGGCAGGAGAGTTGCTTGAAATCAGGAAGTAGAGGTTGCAGTGGGCTGAGATCATGACACTTCACTCCAGCCTGGCAACAGTGATACTTCATCTCTAAACAAGCAACAAAACCCACACCACCCCAAAACTCAGAGTTGTAAAACAGTAACTCCCTGATTGCTCACAAATGCACAGGTGGACTAGGATCAGCAGGGTGGTTCTTCAGTCCCATGTGACGTTGGCTAAAGCTGCAGTCATCTCAGGGCCCAACTGGGCTGGCACATCCAAGACGGTGCACTCAGATGTGTGCAGCACTACCAAGTCCAGTTTGGCTGTAGACACCCACCCAGGTGGCACTGAAGGAACTGAGAAGCAGACACGAAGATAAAACAGCAAAGTGGGTCTATCGGGGGCCAACAGCCTTCCGAACTGAGAGACCCAGGAGCTGACAGCATTCTGGTCCGGAAGCTTGCGCAGACACTGATCCACGCATTTATTCTCTCTGAACAGGTGATCATTATTAACAAGCAGGTGTTCAGTATTTTCTCACAAAATTTGCCAAGTAGGCAGCTGGTGCTCACTTACCACTGATCACAGACAAACTAAAAAGTGTTCTCCACGAGGGAGCCACAGGGGCCGGGTCAGCTGTTCTGAGCTTAAATAATTGTTTTGGCTGGGCGCAGTGGCTCACGCCTGTAATCCTAGCACTTTGAGAGGCCAAGGTGAGTGGATCATCTGAGGTCGGGAGTTCAAGGCCAGTCTGGCCATCATGGTGAAACCCCATCTTAAAAAAATAAATAAAAAATATTAAATTAAAAAAAGAAAAATAATAATTGTTTTAACCGGTGTATGATATTTATACATTGTCCTGCCACTTTAGAATGCCCCAAGTAGTTTTCTACTCGGGGGAGGGGTAGCTAGGTTTTCCTTGCTATCGTTTTTTTTTTTTTTTCCTGGCAACTTTCATTTTAAAAAAGTAGGTAACCAGCCAACCAGCAGCCCTCAGGGCTGTTTTGTCTATGGTGTTGCTTTTTTTTTTTTTTTGAGATGGAGTCTCATTCTGTAGCCCAGCCAGGCTGGAGTGCAGTGATGCAATCTCGGCTCACTGCAACCTCCGCCTCCAGAGTCCCAGTTCAAGCAATTCTCCACTATACCACCCCTTGTCAGTCCTGGGCCATGGGTCACGAAGGGAGGGAGGAATGGCGGAAACACTCAGGCATTCCAGCCCAACAGCAGTCCTGGGAAGAACATAGGGCAAGTTGTTAGCAGCAACATATTTTAAAATGCAGGTTTCAGGGCTGGGCACCATGGTTCATACCTGCAGTCCCAGGTATGAACCTGGGAGGCGGAGACAGGAGGATCACTTGAGCCTGGGGGTTTGAGGTTGCAGTGAGCTATGATTGCACCATTGCACTCCAGCCTGGGCAACAGAGCAAGATCCTTAAAAAAAAGGGTGCCGTGCCTCATGACTGTAATCTTAGTACTTTGGGAGGCACAGCAGGTGGATCACCTGAGGTCAGAAGTTCAAGACGAGTCTGGTCAATATGGTGAAATCCTGTCTCTCCTAAAAATACAAAAAAAAAAAAAAGTTAGTGGGCCATGGTGGTGCACGCCTGTAGTCCCAGCTACTCCGGAGGCTGAGGCAGGAGAATCACTTGAACCTGGGAGGCGGAGGTTGCTGTGAGCCGAAGGTTGCTGTGAGCCGAGATCACACCTGCGCTCCAGCCTGGGCGACAGAATGAGAGTCTCAAAAGCCCCCAAAAACAAAGAAACAGGCAAAAAACAGAAGAGGCAAGGTAAGCAGGTTTGAGATGACCTAGTTTGAATCTCAGCAGGCCCTGGAGCACAGAGAGGCTGTTCTGAGTTTTTGGTACCTGGCCCAGGGGTAATTAGCGCAGGTGGACAGCAGCTCAGGGAGCCCGTGCTCATAAAGGCGTGGCTGAGGTGTGGGCTCCGGATGGGCTGGTTTGCATAGGAAAGGTGAGTAGTTAACTATCTCTAGCGTTTGGCTATCCCTGGGAGGGTCAGTCTCTCGAGTCAGCAAGGCCCCCACATAGCAAAGCAGCAGCCGTTCAGAAAATACAAAGATGTATTGTTACTATTTTGAGACAGAGTCTCACTCTGTCACCCAGGCCGGTGCGCAGTGGCACAATCTCGGCTCCCAGGTTCAAGGGATTGTCCTGCCTCAGCCTCCAGAGTAGCTAGGACTAGAGGAGCATGCCACCACGCCTAGCAAACTTTTGTATTTTTAGTAGAGATGGGTTTCACCATGTTGGCCAGGCTGGTCTTGAACCCCTGACCTCAGGTGATCCACCTGCCTCAGCCTCCCAATGTGCTGGGATTACAGACATGAGCCTGGCACAAAGGCATGATTAATACGCCAAGCACACAAACTTGGGGCTGGGTGCACAGAACTGGGAAGAGGAATCTTAGGGCACCTGGGCGGGCCTCCAGCACTGTCCTCTGCCAGGTGGGAAAGAACAGTCGACCAGGCATGTGCAATACGACCTGGAACCAGGGACGTCCCCTTGCCCTGTTCTCAGTTTCCACATCTGTACTGCAGCCCGGTGTGGGTGATTCTATTCACTGACATTGTCCACAAACTGGACCTGGTATAGGCATACACCAGTAAATGTCAGTCACCATTATTAGCTGCTGATGGGCAATTCTGCTGCCTCAACATGTTTGCACTCTGGTGGGTGCAAGAGATCCACAATCAAAAGGGAAAGGAGTCAGGTGTGGTGACTCACGCCTGTAATCCCAACACTTTGGGAGGCTCGGGCTGGCAGATCATTTGAGGTCAGGAGTTCGAAACCAGCCTGACTAACATGGCAAAACCCTGTCTCTACTAAAAATACAAAACAATTAGCCAGGTGTGATGGTGTGCACCTGTAGTCCCACCCACTCGGGAGGCTAAGGCAGGAGGATCACTTGAATCCGGGAGGTGGATCTTGCAGTGAACCGAGATCTCACCACTGCACTCTGGCCTGGGTGACAGTGAGACTCTGTCTAAAAATAAATAAATAAATAATAAATAAAGGGAACAAATTCGTATTACCACGAGGCAGAGGCAATGTTCTATGTCACTTTCCAGATAAGGTAACTAAAGGTTAGAGAAAGGGAGTGATATGCTCAGTGTCAGACAGATGGGGCTGCAGGAGTGGGGACTTAAATCAGATTCAGTGTGTCATAACTTAGTCCACAGGAAAAAAAATTCACATTTAGACTGGGAACTGTGGCTCACACCTGTAATCCCAGCACTTTGGGAGGTCAAGGCAGGAAGATCGCTTGAGGCCAGAAGTTCCCAGAACAGCCTGGGCAACATAGTGAGACCCCTGTCTGTGGAAAAAAAAAAAAAAAAAAAACTTTTGAGACAGGATGTTGCTCTTTCGCCCAGGCTGGAGTGCAGCGGCAAAATCATTGCCTCAACCTCTCAGACTCAAGTGATCCTCCCACCTCAGCCTCTGGAGTTTCTGGGACTACAGGCACACACCACCATGCCCAGCAATTCTTTTATTTTTAGTTTTTGAGACACAGCTTTGCTCTGTCGTCCAGGCTGGAGTGCAATGGTGCGATCCCGGCTCACTGCAACCTCCGCCTCCCGGGTTCAAGTGATCCTCCTGCCTCAGCCTCCCAAGTAGCTGGGATTACAGGCATGCACCACCATGCCAGGCTAATATTTTGTATTTAGTAGACAAGGGTTTTCACCATGTTAGGCTGCTCCCGAACTCCTAACATCAGGTGATCCACCCGCCTCAGCCTCCCGAAGTGATGGGATTCCAGGCATTAACCACCACACCAGGCCACTTTTGTATTTTTTGTAGAGACATAGTTTCACTATGTTGCCCAGGTTGGTCTTGAACTCTTGACCTCAAGTGATCCTCCTACCCTAGCCTCCCAAAGTGCTGGGAATACAGGCATGAGCCACCGCTCCTGGCCCAGAGACTTTTCTGACTGTATGGATCTCCAAATCAATCTGTCCCCATCTCTGCCTGACTCAGGTCACTCTGTCCCGGTTCTGTCTTCCTCCGCTTCCATATCTCTTCCTCTGTTCTCTCTCTTTCTCTCTGGCTGTTCTCTCCTCCCTATTTCTGTCTCTAGCTCTCTCCTGCCCTTTATCCCTGATCCATCCGTCATCCTGCCCTCAAATCTCTGTGTCTCAGGCACTCGTCTTTGAGTTTCAGCCAGGACCCCGCCTGCCTCCATTACACCGTCCCCATCTCAGCCATGTCCAGACGGGGGCAGTGTTGAGCTGAGGGTGCACTTGGTTCCTGCACTGCCCCAGGGAGTCAAGGCCAGAAGCAGGGTTGGTGGGGTGCATGTCTGCACCTAACGCCTCAGCCCAGCGTCCAGCCCTTCTCCAAAGACTTCATCCCTCCCTCGTGCCTCAGGAAAACCAGGGCTGAACTAAGGCGGATCAGATGGGGAGTCCCAAGCAGCGCCTTTCTGCTTTCCCCGATCTCAACAGAAGGTGGACATTTACGTCGTGGGGCCTGAAAAGGACCACTAATATCAAAATGCCCAAATTACTAATTTATCTTCTAAACATACTCCCCAGAAGGATATATTCATATTCATTGTGTAGACCGGAAAAAAAGATTTCTCCTTCCTTTCTTCCTTTTTCTTTTTTTTCTTTTTTTTGAGACACTGTTGTGTCCACTCTGTTGCCCAGGCTGGAGTGCAGTAGTAAGATCTCAGCTCACTGCAACCTCCACCCACTGGGTTTAAGCAATTTTCCTGACTCGGCCTCCTGAGTAGCTGGAATTACAGGTGTGTGCCACCACTCCTGGCTAATTTTTGTATTTTTAGGAGAGATGGGGTTTCGCCATGTTGGTCAGGCTGGTCTCAAACTCCTGACCTCAAGTGATCCACCAGCCTTGGCCTCCCAAAGTGCTAGGATTACAGGTGTGAGCCATAGTGCCTGCTTGCCAAAGATCTAATCGTGTCTTGAATATTTTTAAACTTTGTTAGGGATGGGGTCTTGTATATTGCCTACTTTGGACTGCAGTGCTGTGTACAGGTGTGATTATGACTCATTGAAGCCCTGAACTCCTGGGCTCAATTGATCTTCCCACTTCAGCCTTCCGAGTAGCTGGTCCTACACTTGTATTCTACCACACCCAGTTTTTTTTAAATTTTACAATTTTATTTATTTTGAGATGGAGGCTTGCGCTGCTGCCCAGGCTAAAGTGTAATGGCGCGATCTCAGCTCACCACAACCTCTGCCTCCAGGGTTCAAGTGATTCTCCTGCCTCAGCCTCCTGAGTAGTTGGGATTACAGGTGCCCACCAATGCACCTGGCTAATTTTTGTATTTTTAGTAGAGACGGGGTTTCACCATCTTGGCCAGACTGGTCTTGAACTCCTGACCTTGTGATCCACCCACCTCAGCCTCCCAAAGTGCTGGGATTATAGGCATGAGCCACTGGGCCCGGCAGTTTTTTATTTTTTGTAGCGACAGTGTCTCCCTATGCTGCCCAGGCTGGTCTTGAACTCCTGATCTCAAGCGATCCTCCCATCCTGGCCTCCCAAAGTATTGGAATCACAGGCATGAGCCACTGTACCTGGCCTGTACCAATTATATATATATATATATATATATATATATTATTTGACACAGAATCTTGCTCTTTTGCTCAAGCTGGAGTGCTGGAGTGCAGTGGTGCCATCTCAGCTCACTGCAACCTGTCTCCCGGGTTCAAGCAATTCTCCTGCCTCAGCCTTCTGAGAAGCTGGGATTACAGGCACCCACTACCATGCCTGGCTAATTTTTGTATTTTGAGTAGAGATGGGGTTTCACCATGTTGGCCAGGACAGTCTCGAACACCTGACCTCAGGTGATCTACTCACCTTGGCCTCCCAAAGTGCTGGGATTACAAGCACAAGCCATTGCACCTGGCTAAAGTTTCCTTTTTCATCCAGACTTATGATAGAATTCCATCTACTCTTAAGATTTTTTTTTTTTTTTTTTTTTTTTACAGAGTTTCACTCTGTTGTCCAGGCTGGAGTGCAATGGTGTGATCTCAGCTCACTGCAACCTCTGCATCCCGGGTTCAAATGATTCTGCTTCAGCCTTCTGAGTAGTTGGGACTACAAGTGTGTGCCACCACGCCTGGCAAAGTTTTTGTATGCTTAGTAGAGACAGGGCTTCACTATGTTGCCCGGGCTAGTCTCAAACTCCAGACTTCAGGTGATCTGCTCGCCTTAGCCTCCCAAAGTGCTGGAATTACAGGCGTGAGCCACCATGCCTGGCTTAAGATGTATTTTGGAGTTCATGTGATACCCATGTAATAAATTGTCAGAGAACCTCTTCTCCCATCCCCAAAGTCATGATTGTGTGTGTTTATTTATTTATAAGAGTCACGGTCTCACTAGGTTGTCCAGGCTGCAGTGCAATGACTATTCACAAGTGCAATCATCATGTGCTCCAGTCTCGAACTCCTGGCGTCAAGGAACCCTCCCACCTCAACTTCGCTGGTAGCTGGGAATACCCTGCTCCATGACTGTGTTCACACTGATGGTTAAATAAATATTACTTATTTGATGTCTGCGTAATGGTTACAATTGTATCCTCTAAGAGGAAAGGACTCTGGGGGGTGGGGGGTGGTTTCATGGCCTGACATTTACTGAAAGAAGGAATGGAATGCCCTGAAATTCACTGAGCCAGGCTGGTCTCTGAGTTCTCAGCATGATCACCCCAGGCCCTAGGAAGCCAGGACTGAAGAGGTGGGACAGAGGGATTTGGATGCATGCCAGCTCTGAGCCAATATGACACATTTGGGCAAACTGGAAAAAGTGTCCACTTCCAGATGGACTAACTAGAAAACGGTGAGCTCTCTGCATGGACACAATGCCAAGGACACTTGGTTTGATGAGTACACTCTGGGTCTGTTTAACCCCCACTTGCCTTCTTGACCAGGGGCCTTTGTGCGGTGAACAACCTGGACAACCTCTCAGGGCATCCCTGTTGTCTACCCTAAAGCCATTTCCCTTTTTTCCTCGGTAACACTGCCCTAATTTTCTGCAAGCTGCATGTGCTTCAGTGGCGGCTGATCAGCTTCCCAACTGCAGAATCTGAGGCTAAACTAACCCCAGAAGTCTCATTTCTTGTGCCTCTTATTGGGGCCACAGGGGTATGTGGTAATTCCTACCAATTGGATTTAGGGGGAAGTCGCTGGAAGGCTTAGGAAGGTTTTGTTCCTTCTTTGAAAGGGACCAAGATAAGAACAAGCCTCTTTTTGCTGCCCTTTTGGCACCAGGAGATGACACAGCTAAGAGATGGTGGCACCGTATATGAAGATGGAAGGAGCTCAGGGGACTGATGGCTTTGTGGAGCTGCTAAGTTAACTGACTGGACTGGGTCACTTGTGGTCCTGTGTGATATGTATGATGATGATCTTTGAACCTGTTCTTTTTTTTTTTTTTGAGATGGAGTCTCTGTCGCCCAGGCTGGAGTGCAGTGGTGCAATCTCAGCTCACTGCAACCTCTGCCTCCTGGGTTCAAGCAATTATCTGCCTCAGCCTCCCAAGTAGCTGTGACTACGGGCACCTGCCACCACGCCTGGCTGACTTTTTTGTATTTTTAGTAGAGACGAGGTTTCACCATCTAGGCCAGGCTGATCTTGAACTCCTGACCTCATGATTCACCTGCCTTGGCCTTCCAAAGTCCTCGGATGACAGGTGTGAGCCACCACTCCCAGACATTTTTTTTTTGGATACATAGTCTTGCTCTGTCACCCAGGCGGGAATACAGTGGCACCATCTTGGCTCACTGCAACCTCTGCCTCCTGGGTTCAAGTGATTCTCTTGCCTCAGCCTCCCGAGTAGCTGGGATTACCAGGGTGCACCACCACACCTGGCTTATTTTTTGTATTTTTAGTAGAGACAGGCTTTCACCATGTTGGCCAGGCTGGTGTTGAATTCCTGACCTCAAGTGACCCGCCTACCTCAGCCTCCCAAAGTGCTGGGATTACAGGCGTGAGCCACGGCTCCCAGCCATTGTTCATGGAGATTTCTGTTACTTGCAGCCCAAAGCATCTTCACAGAAGAGAGGAGGGTCCTGTTCATGGAACAGCTCTCATGCCCCAGCGCTCATCTTGAGGGAGCCAGAGAAGGAGACAGGATTTCAAAGGCAAGGCCAGCATCAGTGCTTGAGTAAGGGGGACAGGTCTGCAGCGATCCCCATCCACTCCGGCAGGAAGGCTGCCTCCGGCTTAAAGACTTTGAGGAAAGGGGAGTCGGGGAGGGTGTAGTTGGCCAGGTAGATGGTGTCCCCGCCGGTGAGGTAGGCCGCCCAGATCCCGAACGTCCCGATGGTCATGATGGTGTGGTTACACTGCGTGAGCAGTGCAAAATCTTTGCCGGGTGAGCCCTCGATGCCATCGCCAGCAAATACCACGTCGCCGCGGGAGGTGTCGATGTTCTGCCGACACCAGGGCATGCCGTTGCTGGTGACCACGAAGACGGGGTTGCTGTGGTGAGTCCGGAACCAGTCCAGGGCCTGCTCGAGGTAGTGCCGGTCAGCCACCACCCCCTTCCACACCCGCGGCATGACAGAGACGTAGTCCCCTCGGCGTACATGGACCCCCACAAAGGTGCCCGGCCGGCTCCCATTCAACCGCAGGCCCCGCAGGAACCCCTGGGCCTCCTCGCGCACATGGTCGTGCAGGGTGAACTCCTGCAGGATCTCCTGGCGGAGGTGGTGGTAGAAGGTCCAGGAGCAGGGGTAGCCCGTGAGGCGGACGTACTCCCACGGGATATGGCGGTACGCCTCCTCCATCCAGTCGTTCAGGTGGTAGTTCCGCCAGCGGATGCTGCTGGCCGTGCTGCTGTGCAGCACCGGCAGCGTGATCTTGAAGATAGGGGCAAGGGTGCTGTGCATCTGGGCCGGGATGAAGGCGGGCCGCCCGTTCAGCTTGGCCAGGGCGTACAGCGTGGCGTACTCGCCCATCTGGTTCCCCAGGCGGCCTATTGCGTTGATGGTCCACATGCCCCTGGGCTGGCTGGGTCCCAGCCCCTCTGACATGGAGGCCTGTGCTGGCACCTGCTCCTCTAAGTCCCACATGGCTTGAATCTTGGCTAGCCGCTGCTGAACGTGAAATACAGTGGACGCCGTAAAGACAAAGAGGACGAAGTGGGCCATGGGAAAGGAGAAAGTCACCTGGCTGATCAGCATGGCTGTCGGGGGGGGGAAAGCGGGACATGTTAGCCGGGAGCTGGAGGCCCGGGATGCCGGGGGACGGGCTGTGCAGGGGTGCTCAGGTGTTAGGTGGGTTCATCTGAATGTGGCTTTACTTCGGGGGTGTAAATACTTGGCACACACATGCATACGTGTATGGGCAGCTATCTCGAGTGTGTTTCATTTTTTTTTTAATTATGATTTTGGTATTTCTTTATAGCAAGTGTTTCGTGTGTGTGTGAGTGTGTGTGTGTGTGTGTGTGTGTTTGAGATGGAGTCTCACTCTTGTTGCCCAGGCTGAAGTGTAATGCTGAGATCTCTGCTCACCGCAACTTCCGCCTCCCGTGTTCAAAGCTATTCTCAGCCTCAGCCTCCCAAGTAGCTGGGGTTATAGGAATGTGTCACCATGTCCAGCTAATTTTGTATTTTTAGTAGAGATGGGGTTTCTCCATGTTGGTCAGGCTGGTCTCAAACTCCTGACCTCAGGTGATCTGCCCGCGTCGGGAGCCCCTGCACCCGGCCTGGAGTGTGTTTATACAGATGTGCATACATTGTGTTCAGGTGGTGTGTGTACACAGGTGGATGTGTTTGCATTGTGTGTAATGTGGATATGGGGATCCATACACTGTATACATATATGGGTGTGTGCAAATGGACATGTATACGTGGTAGTGCATGGGTGTATATATATTGTGTACACATAAGGGTATATGTGTTCAGCCTGGCCAACAGAGTGAAACCCCGTCTCTACTAAAAATACAACAAATGACCCAGGCGTGGTGGCAGGTGCCTGTAATCCCAGCTACTGGGGAGGCTGAGGCAGGAGAATTGATTGAACCCGGGAGGTGGAGGTTGCAGTGAGACAAGATTGCCTCACTGCACTCCAGCCTGGGCAACAGGGTCAGACTCTGTCTCAAATAAATAAATGAATAAAGCAGAATGTTCTACAAGGATGTCCCTGCCTCCTCGGTAGCTCCCTCCCTTCCTCACCCAGGAAGGAGGGGGTGGCTGCTGAGTGTCCCAGAGCAGGAAGCTTGGCACTGACCTTGACTGGAGCCCGAAAGGAGAGAAGGAAGAAGTGGAGAGCAAACTCGAGTCTCCCAGGCGAGCTGCTCAGTGAGATCGCGAATTGCTGAGGTTTGGCTAGATGCCTTTTGGGGTGTGGTCGGGAACCTCTTATGCACTGTGTGACTTTGACCCAGGGCTTTTACCTCGTCTGTCCATCAATGGGGGTTTGGGAGAGCGATAAAAACTACAGCTCCCTGGAGGTTGCAGTGAGCTGAGATCACACCATTGCACTCCAGCCTGGGTGACAGAGTGAGACTCCCTCTCAAAACAACAACAACAACAACAAAATAACAAAAACAAACAACAGCCCTGTCCAGGAGTGGTAGCTCACACCTGTAATCTCAGTGCTTTTGGGAGGCCAAGGTGGACAAATCACTTAAGCTCAGGAGTTCAAGACCAGCCTGGGCAACATGGCAAAACCCTGTCTTTACAAAAACAGTAAACAAAAATTCCATGAGCCAGGCATGGTGGCTCATGCCTGTCATCCCAGCACTTTGGGAGGCCGCGGCAGAAGAATCGCTTGAATCCAGGAGGCAGAGTTGCAGTAAGCCAGGATCGTGCCATTACATTCCAGACTGGGCAACAAAAAGCAAAATTCCATCTCAAAAAAAAAAATTTGACAAGAGTGCTGGTGTGCATCTGTAGGCCCAGATACTCAGGAGGCTGAGTGCAGAGGATCACCTGAGGTCAGGGAGGTTGAGGCTGCAGTGAGCCAAGATCCTGCCACTACGTTCCAGCCTGGGCAACAGAGCGAGACCGTTTCAAAAAAACCCCAAGGCAACAACAACAAAAAACGCAAAGTAGGTGACACTATGTCCATTTCACAGCAAAAGAAACTGAGGCTCAGAGACTGGCCCTGTGGCTGGGAGGGGCTCAGATGAGCAAGGGGGTGGCCCAGGGATGTGGCAGGCTGAGATGGCAGGGGGTGATTGGTAAAGCAGCTACCAGGGGCCTGAGGGGAAATCTTGAGAAATGCCAACAGCCAGAGTGGAATCCAGGGCAGTAGAGCTTCTGGTAGAGGGGAGCGCTTGGGGTTTCCCTAGTCCTCTGAGGTCAGGAAGTCCATCTTGTTATCTGCCCTCAGTCCCTACAGCTGCATCAGACACCTCCGACTGGGCCATAGGGGCAGAGGAGAGAGGGAGGTCAAGGGTTCTTCCTCCATCTGGGTGCCCTGGGTGGGGGGTCTTCCCTTGGAAGATTGTGATTAGGATGCCAGAATGGAAAGGGGCCCTGATTTCTCTCTCTCTCTCTCTCTCTCTTTTTTTTTTTTTTTTTGAGATGGAGTCTCACTCTGTCAACCAGGCTGGAGTGCAGTGGCTCGATCTCAGCTCACTGCAACCTCCACCTCCTGGGTTCAAGCAATTCTCCTGCCTCAGCCTCCTGAATAGCTGGTATTACAGGTGCCCGCCATCACACTTGGCTAATTTTTGGTATTTTTAGTAGAGATGAGGTTTCACCATATTGGTCAGGCTGGTCTTGAATTCCTGACCTCATGATCCATCCACCTCTACCTCCCAAAGTACTGAGATTACAGACGTGAGCCACCACACCCAGCCAGGGCCCGAGTTTCGAAGCAGGAGCCCGGCTGCCAATTCTGTCAGAGGACTGGGGTCACTAAAATCTATAAGTCTCTTCCTCTTTTTTCTTCTTTTTTTTTTTTTTTTTGAGATGGAGCCTCACTCTGTTGCCCAGGCTGGAGTGCAGTGGCACCATCTTGACTCACTGGAACTCACGGGAACGCTGCTTCCCGGGTTCAAACGACTGTCACGCCTCAGCCTCCTGAGTCGCTAGGATTACAGGTGCATGCCATCACAACCGGCTAACTTTTGTATTTTTAGTAGAGATGGGGTTTCACTATGTTGGCCAGACTGGTCTCAAAACCCTGACCTCAAGTGATCCTCCTGTCTCGGCCTCCCAAAGTGCTGGGATTACAGTGTGAGCCACCGTGTCCAGACTAGATCACTCCTTTTTTTTATAGACGGAGTTTCTCCATGTTGGTCAGGCTGGTCTTGAACTCCTGACCTCAGGTGATCCACCTGCCTTGGCCTCCAAAGTGTTTGGATTACAGGCGTGGGCCACCACACCCAACCTAGGTCACTTCTTTTGGGTTCTCTTTGTCCCACCCGTCCACGATTCCAGCCTGGCCTCTTCCTCTCCCCTCGGTCCCCTACACCCACCGCCGGCCCTGCCCCGCCCCAACTCACAGCCCCTCCAGGGCTCTCCATACCCCTAAGACAGAATCCCAGCCTCTGGCCTGGCCCCGCACACCCCTCTGGCTTTGTTGCCAGCTGTTCCCATGAAATAACCCAGCTCTCTGCTCACCTGGGGCCCCGTCCTGTCTCCCAGCCCTGAAAGCCTTTCTCCACCCCTACCCACCCCTGCCCCGGGCAGCTCTGCACGCCCTGCTCAGTGGCACCCCGACACTGCCAAAGCCCACTTTCTTCCAGCACTTCCCCGGGATTCCTGGATTCCCAGCAAGATCACTTCCACTCTGGGGAGGAGAAGGGAGCTTCAAACAAAAATGTGGGGCCATCACTTGCAAACCCCACCTTTATTCTCCAGCAGTGGGGTTTGAATCACAGAAGCGGTGATTCAGAGCGGGATCAGGGAGTGCAGGAGGCACGGAACTGCCTCCCTGAGCAAGGGCAGAGCACGGAGGTGAGACCCGCAGCTTGGGGTCCTTGAAGACTCTGGGGAGCCCCGGGTCTGAGGGAGCACCCTCCAGGGTGGAGCCAGGAAAGTCGGGTCACCAACAGCTGTGCCCGAGCCACCTGCACCTTTACTGCCAGGATGGTTCCTGGAAACTGCTGAGGGGAGGGAGACAAGGAAGGAGCTGGTGGCAGGGGCTGGAGAAGGGGAGGGAGGTGGTGGCTGGAGCTCTAGAAACAGATCCACCGGGAAGGAAGTGGGGAGGGAGCTAAGGAGGGCGGCTGGCGGGTAGGAGGGGGGCCTGGCTGCCGAGGGAGGGACCCTCCTGTCCTGGAGGCTCTGAGTTGGGAGTGCATCCCACAGGGGACCAGAGGCCCTCGAGTGCACAGCGAGTCCACTTCCCACATCCCCTGCTCCCCGCCTGGGAGTGTGTGCACTGGTGTGTGTGCTGCCGGGTGGGCGAGGAGCCCCTCACCTGCTCACTCCGGGTCCTGCTGAAGGAATCAGGGTGGCTCTGCTGGCAACTCAGTGCTCCCTCTGGGCCTCTCCCTTTACTCAGGGCCAAAGAAACCCTTCCAGCATCCGTGACTGGCAAACCCCGCCCAGGATCTACTGGGCTTTCCAGAGCAGGTGCTGCTGGGCTTAGGGAGGGCAGTGAGCCAGGAGCCCCTCCCCCTTCCACAGGGCCTGCCAGGAAGTCCATCTTGTTATCCGCCCGGAGCTCCTCCACCTGCATCAGGCACCCCAAGCCCGGCTATAGAGGTAGGGGAGAGAGGCGGGTCAAGGTTTCATCCCCCATCCTGGTCCCCGGGGGTCTTCCTTGCGGAACTGTGGTAGGATGCCCTGAACAGAAAAGGGCCCCCACTCTCCTCCAGGCAGACAGGAAGACTTCCAGGAAGGCAGCAAAGAGATAGTGGGTGGGGACAAAGTCCAGCTAGGCCAGGCTCTCACTGACTCTGAGTCCCCTTAGAGTCCTATATTTATTTCTTTTTTAAATTATTATTATTTTTTTTGAGACAGATTTTCACTCTTTTTGCCCAGGTCAGAGTGCAATGGTTCCATCTAAGCTCAATGCAACCTCCGCCTCCCAAGTTCAAGTCATTCTCCTGCCTCAGCTTCCAAGTACCTGGGATTATAGACGCAGCCACCACGCCCAGCTAATGTTTCCAGTTTTAGTAGAGATGGGGGTGGGGTGGGGGTGAGGGTTTCACCATGTTGGCCAGGCTGGTCTCCAACTCCTGACCTCAGGTGATCCACCCTCCTCAGCCTCCCAAAGTGCTGGGATTACAGGCGTGAGTCATCGAGCCCCACCTTAAAATTTTTTTTTTTTTTTTTTAATAGAGATGGACGCGATATGGTGGCTCAGGCCTGTAATCCCAGCACTTTGGGAGACCAAGGTGAGTGGATCACTAGAGAGGTCTGGAGTTCGAGACCGGCCTGGCCAACATGGCGAAACCCCGTCTCTACTAAAATACAAACATTGGCCAGGCGTGGTGGCTGCGCCCGTAATCTCAGCTACTCAGGAGGCTGAGGAGCAGAATTGCTTGAACCCAGAAGGCGGAGGTTGTGGTGAGCCGAGATCGGGCCACTGCACTCCAGCCTGGGTAACAAGAGCGAAACTCCGTCTCAAAAAAAAAAAAAATGAAACTCTGTCTCCAAAAAAACAAAAAACACACAAACAAACAAAAAAAACAAAGGCTGAGGAATTTTACTAAGGCAAGAAGCAGGCACCACCCAAGCTCCCAGCAGTCCTAACACACAAGGAAAGAGAAAAAAGCAGCCACTCCCCAGCTTCAGTGAAGCAGCAGGAGGCTAACTACCAGCTACGGAGCTCCCTTTAAAACAAACAAAAAAAAAATGAAAAGAAAAAAATCAGATCAAGCTTCTCACTGTAACCACCAGTTTGCAGAAAACAGGAGGATAAAGTTGCCAGTGAAACAACACCACAAGGCAGCAATCAGCCCAGCCCAGAATGTGGACTGAGCCTGGCTACAGAACAAAGGACCTGGTCCCCCGTGATTCAGCACACGGAAGAAAGCAGCAGGGTGGGGCAGGGGAATGGGGAGGTGAGCTGTCAAAAAATATGCAAAGCAGATTTGGAACTCAGAGGCTTAGAAACAGACCCTCCACCTCCATGAATGTCCCACAGATGTTTCAAAGTAAAGGGAATGAACTGGGCGAGGTGGCTCACACCTGTAATCTCAGCATTTGGGGAGGCCAATTCAGGTGGATCACCTGAGGTCAGAAGTTCGAGACCAGCCTGGCTAACGTGGTGAAACTCCATCTCTAATAATAATACAAAATTAGGGCTGGGCGCGGTGTCTCATGCCTGTAATCCCAGCATTTTAAGAGGCCAAGGCAGGCGGTCACCTGCGGTCAGGAGTTCGAGACCAGCCTGACCAACATGGAGAAACCCATCTCTACTGAAAATACAAAATTGGCTGGACATGGTGATGCACGCCTCTAATCCCAGCTACTCGGGAGGCTGAGGCAGGAGAATCGCTTGAACCTGGGAGGCGGAGGTTGCAGTGAGCCGAGCTGTGCCACTGCACACCAGCCCGGGCAACAAGAGCAAAAACTCTGTCTCAAATAAAAAAAAAATTAGCTGGGCATGGTGGTGTACTCCTGAAATCCCAGCTACTCAGGAGGCTAAGACAGGAGAATTGCCTGAACCCAGAGGCGGAGGTTGCAGTGAGCCGAGATTGTGCCACTGCACTCCAGCCCAGGCGACAGAGTGAGACTGTCTCAAAGACAAAAAAAAGTCATGAGAATGCAGGACAAAGCTTCATTGTGTAACTTTCTGGGTTTTTTTGAGACAGAGTCTCGCTCTGTCACCCAGGCTGGAGTGCAGTGGTGCAATCACAGCTGACTGTAACCTCCACCTCCCAGGTTCAAGTGATTCTCCTGCCTCAGCCTCCCAAGTAGCTGGGACTACAGGCACGCGCCACCACACCTGCCTGATTTTGTTGTATTTTTAGTAGAGATGGGGTTTGACCATATTGGCCAGGCGGGTCTCAAACTCCTGACCTCATGTGATCCACCCTCTTTGGCCTCTCAAAGTGCTGGGATTACAGGCGTGAGCCACTGCACCCAGCCTGGCCTGTTTGCATTGATTATGTCTGTGTAACAGGCTTTCTATGGAACAGTGTAACACTGGGCATCTCTTTCCAATTCCATGTTCAATGATCTCATATTGGTAGTTTGAAATTGGCCGTGGTGGCCAGGCCTGGGGCTGTGCACCTGTAATCCCAGCTACTGAGGAGGGTGAGGCTGGAGCATAGCTTGAAGCCAGAAGTTAAGGACCAGCCTGGGCAACCTAGTGAGACATTGTCTCTACAAAAAATAAAAAAAATTAGCTGGACACGGGGCACATGCCTGTAGCCCCAGATACTTGGGAGGCTGAGGCAAGAGGACCCTAGGAGGTTGAGGCTGCAGTGAGCCATGATCTGGACACTGCTCTTCAGCCTGAGTGACAGAGAAAGATCCTGCCTCTGAAAAATTAAAAAATAAATCTGGACACATTGGTTCATGCCTGTAATACCAGCACTTTGGGAAGCCAAGGCAGACAGATTGCTAGGCCAGGAGTTCAAGACCAGCCTGGCCAACATGGTGAAATCCCATCTCTACTAAAATTACAAAAATTAGCTGGGCATGGTGGCATGCACCTGTAGTCCCAGCTACTCAGGAGGCTGAGGCAGGAGAATCACTTGAACCCGGGAGGTGAAGGCTACAGTGAGCTGTCACGGTGCCACTGCACTCCAGCCTGGGCAGAACCATCTCAAGAAAAGAGAAAAGTTTATTCAAACACAAAGCAGTGAGGGTGGGTGCCCAGGGACACTGAAGAGTAGTGATCAGTGGTCCCAGTGTGGGGAAAATGGGGATCATTTATGCAGGTAAAAATGGAGGTGAGCTGGATGAGGTGGCTCACGCCTATAATCCCAGCAGTTTGGGAGGCCAAGGTGGTGGTGGGTCACTTGAAATCAGGAGTTCAAGACCAGCCTGGTCAACATGGTGAAACCCTGTCTCTACTAAAAAAACATACAAACATTAGCTGGGCACCTGGTGGTGGGCATCTGTAATCCCAGCTACCTGGGTGGCCAAGGCAAAAGAATTGCTTCAACCCAGGGGGTGGAGGTTGCAGTATTCTGAGACTGCACCACTGTACCCCAGCCTGGACAACAGAGCAAGACTCTGTCTAACCAAAAAAAAAAAAAAGAAGATGGTGAGCAGAATCACAGCATTTTGCATACAAAGGCAGCTAACATACGGCTGTAAGATTAGATTGCCAGGGTCGGAGGTGCGAAGTGGCTCACACCTGTAATCCCAGCACTTTGGGAGGCTGAGGCAGACAGATCATGAGGTCAGGAGTTCGAGACCAGCCTGGCCAACATGGTGAAACCCATCCCTACTAAAGATACAAAAAATTAGCCAGGCATGGTGGTGAGCACCTGTAATCCCAGCTACTTGGGAGGCTAAGGCAGGAGAATTGCTTGAATCCAGAAGGCGGAGGTTGCAGTGAGCTGAGATCGCACCACTGCACTCCAGTCAACTGCTAACTACTAAGGGGATTTCTTAATCTTCTACTGTAAAGAGGTAACAATCACACAGGTCTGTCTCCAATGTCATTTAGGCGAGGTCTGAATGCAGAACAGGGAGTCTGATTAATGTATAACATCTCAACGCAAATGTCAGAAAGCAACAGTCATACACCAAAGGAAGCACAGTCGTGGCTGGGCGTGGTGGCTCACGCCTATAGTCCCACCACTTTGGGAGGGCAAGGTGGAAGGATCACTTGAGCTCAGGTGTTCAAGTCCAGCCTGGGCAATCTAGTGAGACCTTATCTCTACTATGAATAAAGAAAAATCAGCCAAGCACAAAGTGAGCTGTGACTGTGCCACTGCACTTCAGCCTGGGTGACAGAGCAAGACTCTGCCTCAAAAATAAATAAATAAAACACACACACACACACACACACACACACACACACACACCATCTAAGTTTGTGTAAACATACCCATGATGTTCACCAAATATAAAATTGCCTCACAATACATTTCTCAGAACACAACCCTATTGTTAAGTGAGCCATGACCATATTGTGGAATCAATGAAAGGATTTTCAGAATTCTACTTCCTGAGACAATGTGCACGAAATAGCTACAGGACCACTAGCCTTGTGCCAAGGGCACCGCACCTTTGGTCTCTAGGCTGCTTTCCCGCTAGGCCGCGGGTCTCTCTCTGGTCCTTGTCATACAATCCATTCAATGAACATGCATTAGATGCTTTAAATGATTCCCCGGTCGCTCTAAGAAGGAAACACGACTGGGCCCCTTGAAGCAAAAGAAAATCATTCCTAGTTCTTTGTTTCTTTGAGACATGGTCTCACTCTGTCTCCCAGGCTGGAGTGATCTGGGCTCACTGCAGCCTCCACCTTTCATTCAAGCAATTTTCTCACCTCAGTCTCCTGAGTAGCTGGGATTACAGGCACCCACCACCACACCGAGCTAATTTTTGTGTTTTCAGTAGAGACAGAGTTTTGGCATTTTGGTCAGCTGAACTCCTCCGGTGACTCCCCTGCCTTGACCTACCAAAGTGCTGGGATTACAGGCGTGAGCCACCGAGCCCAGGCCATTCCGCCTTAGTTCTGGAGGCCAAGAGTTCATCTCTGCGCTGTCGGCTCATGGCCTTCCCTTCTTGGGTGTCTGTGTGGTTACCCATTATAATGGCTTAGGGACACAACTCACCCTACTCTAGTATAACCCTGACTTAACCAATTACATCCGCAATAATTTTTTTTTTTTTTTTTGGAGACTGAGTCTCGTTCTGTCACCCAGGCTGGAGTGCATGCAATGGTGCAATCTCGGCTCACAGCAGCTTCCGCCTCTCAGGTTCAAGCAGTTCTCCTGCCTCTGCCTCCAGAGTAGCTGGGACTACAGGTGCCTGCCACCATGCCCCGCTAACATTTGTATTTTTAGTAGAGATGGGGTGTCACCATATTGGCCAGGTTGGTCTTGAACTTCTGACCTTGTGATCCACCTGCCTCGGATTATAGGCGTGAGCCACCATATCGGCCACATCTGCAGTGATCTTACTGTAAACCACAAATAAAATTCTAAGTCCCCCAAGTAACTGAATGGAACCTTCCTCTAGGCCAAGGGCATTCTAAAGTAAACCTGAGACACTAGTTCAGGCCAGGATGGGACAGGGTGGCTGGACATGCCTCATTATACCCTCCTCCCACTGTAATTCAGGCACAGCTGACCAGTGTTAACATCAACACAGACCTTAAGATTGACCAGGGCTGGGGGTGGTGGCTCATGCCTATAATCCCAGCACTTTGAGAGACCGAGGCAGGTGCGGATCACTTGAGATCAGGAGTTCGAGACCAGCCTGGCCAATATGGTGAAACCCTGTCTCTACTAAACATACAAAAAATGAGCCAGGTGTGGTGGTGGGTTCCTGTCATCCCACCACTCAGAAGACTGAGGCATGAGGATCACGTGAACCCAGGAGGCGAAGGCTGCGGTGAACCGAGATCGCACCACTGCACTCCAGCCTGGGTGAAAGAACTGCGGGACCCAGACCTCCTCCTGCATTAACACCTCCCAAGCCCAAACCCTGTTACTGGCAGCAAATCCGCATGGGTCTGCAGCAACGTGAATTCTTGCCTCCTCAGGAGAAAGAAATCGACTGAGGGGCACACGGCTGAGGCAAGTTTTAGAGCAGGAGAGAAAGTTTGTTGAAAAGCTTCAGAGCAAGGACAAAAGGCAGGAAAGTACCCTTGGAAGAGGGCCAGGCAGGTGACATGAAAGACAAGTGTGCGGTTTGACCTTTTGAGTTGGGTTTTTTTTTTTTTTGAGACAGAGTTTCACTCTTGTTGCCCAGGCTGGAGTGCAATGTCGCGATCTCAGCTCACTGCAACCTCCACCTCCTGGGCTCAAGCGATTCTCCTGCCTCAGCCTCCCGAGTAGCTGGGATTACAGTCACACACCAACGTGCCTGGCTAATTTTTTTTAAATGATTATTAAAAGCCAACTAATTTTGTATTTTTAGTAGAGACAGGGTTTCTCCAAGTTGGTCAGGCTAGTCTCGAACTCCTGACCTCAGATGATCCACCTGTCTCAGCTTCCCAAACTGCTGGCATTACAGGGGTGAGCCACCACGCCCGGCCCCTTTTTTCTCCCTGAGACAGAGTCTCAATCTGTTGCCCAGGTTGGAGTGCAGTGGCACGATCTTGGCTCACTGCAACCTCTGCCTCCCGGGTTCAAGCAATTCTCCACCTCAGCCTCCCGAGTAGCTGGGATTACAGGCATGCGCCAGACTCCCTGCCAATTTTTTTGTATTTTTAGTAGAGACGGGGTTTCACCATATTTGCCAGGCTGGTCTCAAACTCCCGACCTTGTGAAATACCTGCCTTGGCCTCCCAAAGTGCTGGGATTACAGGTGTGAGCCACCACGTCCAGCCTGAGTTGTTTCTTTGTATTTTTTGAAATGGAGTCTCACTCCGTCACTAGTCTGGAGTGCAGTGGCGCGATCTCGGCTTACTGCAACCTCCGCTTCCCAGGTTCAAGCGATTCTCCTGCCTCAGTCTCCTGAGTGGCTGGGACTACAGTTGCACACCACCATTCCTGGCTAACTTTTGTATTTTTCGTAGAGATGGGGTTTCTCCATATATTGGTCAGGCTGGTCTCGAACTCCTGACCTCAGATGATCTGCCCACCTTGGCCACCCAAAGTGCTGGGATAACAGGCGTGAGCCACTGTGCCCAGCCTGCAACCGATTCCTTTAGAGAGACAGTTAACAACT